TTTTTTACGGTGCTTTCAAAAATGCAGTAAAATACAGGGTGTTCCACTTAAAAATACATAACTTTGATATGGTACGCTTTTCCTGGACACCCTGTATATTCCAAATATTTTTAAAATGTAGCCGTAATCAACCTACACATACCCACCTAAACAGGTTTCTGTAACATTTGCCGTTTGGTCACTAGCGACCGAGGCGTTACTGGTGGCCCACCCTGTATTTCGACTTGTAATTTTTTTGTTTATCAATGGAACATGGAATCTTATGTTTTTCGAGTAATTAAAGTGTAAATTTTAATAAATAGCTCAAAATTGTACATAATGATTAGAAAATACTTTTCGGATTCTAGTTCGTCGCAAGAACGCGTTTCCGGGGGTAGTTTTATGCGTAGAATCCGAAAATCGCAAAATAAATAAGGTACGTCCAAAAATACCTCCCCTTCCCCCCTTTTGCCCCCCTAGGGTGGAAGGGGTGAGTTGAAATTAGGTGCGCTCTTAGGTCTCCCCATCTAGAGTACACCCTTAAAATTTCAGATTTTTATATTCATTTTTGACGGAGATATGCCAGGTACCCAAGAGCTATAGCCCAACCGACAAGGCTGAAAATAAAAACATAATTAGTTACGACCTACATTTCAGCTCATAGAGAGGATAGGGAAGGTGACAAACTGTGACCTGAATGTGTAGCAAAGTCAAGCACACTGGATATTGTGACAGTGCACCTAGCCACGGTGTCGTACAGATAGATATCTGAAAAGAAAAGTATAGTTATGTGTGTTTCAGCTCATAGAAAGGATAGGAGAGGCGATAGTCTACGACCTGAACACACAGGGAGATGAAGTATACCGGATATTGTAACAATAATGCACCTAACCTCGATGTCCTACAGATGGATATCTGAAAAGAAAACCTGCATTTCAGCTCATGGAAAGGCAACAACCCATGATCTGAACGTGCAGTGGGATCAAGTACACCGGATATTGCGACAGTGCACCTATCCACGGGATCGTACGAGCAGATATCTGAAAAGCAACCAATGGTTAGTTAGTATGGGCGGATAGCTGAAAAATAAAGTATGATTAAAACAAAATAGACAGTAGCCATGTCTTTACATAAATCCTTCACTCATTTTCTCTCTTTATCACGTCTGTACTATTGCAACGGAATGGAACTAACTCTGAGATTCGAATCACCTCTGTTAGGTATCCAGTCACCTCAAGAGTCTTACGCATTAAATATGCTCGAAATTTACTTCGGCGGCCGGATAGCTGATGGCCAACTGAATTTCCAATTCAACTTAACTACATAGTTTCTACGGCGAACAATGGCAGCTGTGCAGTTTTGACAAGCTGGACTTAACAAAATCTACTTACTTCAAATGGCAACCTTCCTTGTGCTGGTGACGTACTGGACTGCTCTCAGCAATGGGTGTAAGTGAACTCTCGTGTCAAGCTCCTACAGCAATTGGTGGTGGCTACGCAGACTTCACACGTTGGGCTTGGAAGAATTTTTTTACTCTCTACTGCTGGGGCTGGTGAAGGATTGGACTGCTCTCGCTGGCTGATGACTGTGTACTGATTTAGATTCTAACTGCAAGATGGGCTAAGTGCTCCAATTTTGCGCTTGTGCCATGTTTAGACGATGTTGAAAAATGCGAATGGCGGTGCGATATTTATTTAAATAAAATAGATAACAATTCGAGGTATGTCAGAAACTTGCCTAAAAATCACTTTGTTACATTATACAGGGTGTCCCATAAGCACATGATCAAAAAGGTACTGCGACATTCTTTGGTTCAAAAGAAGACGATCTCACCTAACTTCCATTAAGAAAAATTGTCTGGTTCCTCTGCTACTGATTGTCAATGTTCTTGAAAAAAATTATGTTTTTTGTAATATCTGGAGAATGTTACAATGGATTTTAATGAAACTTGTTGTGGACTTGTTTCTAAGTAAGACTTATGTTTTGGTCAAGCAACCGCCTTCATTCGCCTTGGGCAAGTGGTAAATTCGTAAGTGTCTTGGTACAAGAATTACCAGAACTTTTTATTTGGCTGATGGAATCAATTCATTTTTTTTATTGATGCACCAATCCTTTTTCGAGATTTTCGTGCTCTTGGTCAAATTTTGTAGCCTTCAGTTTTTACACAAAAAAATATTTTCTGTTTCGTTGCGACTTAGCAATTTTGGATGTACCTATCGCAGTAAATCTGTACTTTTACAAGAAGCGGCTTTCTCTAATAATAATTATGCCAATTCTTTTACTTAGGATATCAATATTGAAAGTAAAATGGTCGCAATTTTAAAGCCAGTCACGACATGACAGATTTAATATCATTTTATTTCATTAGATTTATTTTTTTTTAACACGCAAAAATGTAAAGACATACTTAGGAAAGATATAATTCTCTTTATTGAAACTGGACGATAGTTACATAGATACGATAGATGATGATAGAATTACAAGACATGTTCGATATACCCACCATTCCCCTTCGTCAAAAATTTGACAATTCATTTATTATAAAATGATGTCATCGCTTACTACGATAGTAGTGATTGTAGTGAGCAGTTGTTGTATTTGAGTAGTGTGATAATGATTATCTAAAATTGAAGACATTTTATTGCGTAAAAACTATGAGGGTTACAAGATTTTAACAAGAGCATGAAAATCTTGAAAAAAGGATTGAAGTATCAATAAAAAAAAGATGAATTGATTCCAGCGACCAAATAAAAAGTTCTGATAATTCTTGTGTCAAGACACTTAAGAATTTACCACTTCCCATTAAAATACATCGTAACATTTTCACCTTTTTGATCAAGTGCTTATGGGAAGACCCTACAGTTTACTTAACATGTTCACTGCGTAAGTATTTTCCCGTTTCACCCGCCCTGTGCGGAATGCTTTTTTTTCCAAAAAACATTGGCAAAGACTTCAAGAAAGTCCATAATTTGCACAATTTCAATTTGTACATGTTGCACCAGGTGTGTCATACGCACTGGTGACAGAATCAGAAATTATTATTCTACACATCGAAGTGTTTACTTTGTTTTGGAAACTTCTTGGTCACTACTAAAATGACTGGTAACACCCAAAAATTGATCCACCAGGTGCGTCACTCGCACATCGGAACCTACCCCTTGCGACGCAACAGGTGTGTCATACACACTCAATGTGTCAATAAAACTAAGTCATACTTTCTCAATTGTTTTATTTAACCCCACTTCGCACAAAAATTGAGTTCAGTGGTACTTTTAAAGTAATTTTTTATACGTGTGCAGAAGTAACGGAAGCAATACAAGCACAAAAATCCCAATTCCTTCCTCAAATAACACACCAACTTAAAATAAAAAACTGTTTATTGTAATAGTTAAAATAAAATCTTTACCATATATCTCTTATCTAAACTTATATAAACCTTACAAATTTAAAAAATAATCACAAACAGCAGTCTGTTAAGTATATCACAAAATATTTATCCATCATCACACCGCCATTTTTGATTAGCTTCCCTTCTGGCGTCAGGAACTAACTGACTTCTCATACCCCCTAGAACGTTGCTAGTGGCCTCAGATGCTATTATGACGGGCTTTAGAATTGTCGGAGGGATTTGGCGCAGTACCCCACCCACCATACCGCTGTAGCCCTTTTGTTCTTTTTCCCGAGACACCACCTGCAAGATGTTGTCTGATGTTTCACCGATTCCCTGAAAATACGAAAAAGCTTCATTTTATTTAAAAGAAAAAAAAATTATACAGAGTCATACATAAACGGTGACCAAATATGAAACATCATATTCTTTGGTGAATTTTAAGGGAAGTCTTTCAGATAAAGTTTTTATCTAGGACTTTTCGTTAAAAAGATACAGGATGTGAAACTTAAAATATTTTTAATTTTTTTAAACAATTTAAAAACTTGTAAGTGAAATACAGTATAGACTCAATAAGCCGAACTAGTTACGACACGGGCTTAAAGAGATAAGTTCGAATTACCGATATTCTCGGATTACTGGATAGTAAATATGTACGTATGTAAATTTGTTTATGTACATACATACAATATGAATTAGATTTTAAGTGTTACTGAGAAGGCAAAAAATAACAATAAAACCAAACATTACCGTAAAATATAGATATGCATTTATTAAAAATAAAAAAGACTAAAAAAACCAATGACAGTTTAACGGTTACAAAAGAAATCGGTGATACGTGTTTGGTTTTTGGTACTCATTTCTTTCTTGATACATTCTGCCTGCAACGTGTGGAGCAATGTTACTCGTTGAGGAGGTAAATTATTCTCACCGGCCCATCGTAAACATGTGGTGAAACATTTCACAGCTTCCTCGTGTTTTACAAGTTTAACTATTGACATTCCTTCATCGTCCTCTTAATTGTCAACATCCTCTTCATTTTCTGTATCAGAAGCGACATCATCATAAATTATGTCTTCTTCAGTTAGGAATGCACTCTTTTCATTTTCCCCTTGCACCAATTCCTGTATATCCTGACCTGAGACAGTTTCACCGATTTTTCCAAACATTTCCTAGATTTCAATCAGCTCATTACTAAACTCAATTTTATTAGATGGAAGGAATGGTAAATCATCATCAGTAAGGTCTTTTTCAGTCTGGTCATTGTTCATAGCTAAATCAACATCTTGTTCAGTTGTAGTTAAGTCGCGATAAATACGTTTCCAGGATTTTTTCAACAGCTCAGTTCGTACTCTTTGCCATGCTTCGTCGAGAAAAAGTACGTCTTTTAAATTTACAGTCTTTAATATCTGTGCAATATCATCATCAGAATCAATAATTTGTGAAAGAAGTTTCTTGCGAAAGCCTGAATTACATACATGGCAAAAATTTGTTTAATTTCACTCATGAATTCTGAAGCATCGGGATGGCCAGGAGCATTATCCAAAATTAACACAGCTTTCTTGGGTAATCCTAATTCCACCATTTTTTTTCTACTGATGGCACAAAGTGTGAATGAAACCAGTACTTAAACAGATCCTTTACTATCCAAGCTTATTTTCTCCCTTTCCCAAAATTAATAACGGTAGTTCGTGACTTCCTGATGCGTTTGCACATGGCATGAAAGTTATCCTTTCCTTGCTTAATTTTCTTCCTGGTGCCGATGATTCAGATTTACTAACCAACGTTTTTTTGGGTAACATCCTCCAAAAAAGCCCACTTTCGTCTGCATTGTAGATTTGATGAGAATTTAGTCCTAATCTTTGAAGCGTTTTTAAAAATTTTGATTTAAACAGTTCCACTGCGCTAAAATCAATAGACAGCTTTTCTCCTGAGACACTTAATTGGCGAATTCCATATCTCTTTTTGAACTTTTGCAGCCACCCACCACTGGCGTTAAAGTCTTTATTATTTAGTTTCACAGAAAAAAACTTGGCTTTTTCACATAGTACGTCACCAGAAATCGGAGTACCTCTAGCACGCTGTTGTAAAAACAAGGTGTAAAGGGCGCTTTCCATATTAGGATATTCACATGCTTTGAGAGTTTTTCTTCCGCTGGGTCCATTTTCAGAAGTAGAAGCGACAAAATTAAAAATTTTCTCCTTATTTTTCTTAATGCCTGTAGTAGTAGATTTTCTGACATTATACATTTTATATAACTTAGTTGCTGGTTCACCTTCGTCTAATTTATTTAGAATATCCACTCTTTGCAAAAGGATTAACGTGATGGTTTCTTTTTTTTTACTAACTAAAAAGATCTAATCGAGAAAGGGTCCGACTCGCATAAAAGGGTTTCCCCGAGACTGCCGGGGAATTACGTTTTTAGCAGTTACTTTTTATTACGTAGTCTTGACTCTATAATCCGAACTATATACGTTAAACCGAATTTTGTTTGAATTAGAGTATTGTTCGAACCATCGAAACGGTCATTCGTCGGGCCGGATTAGTGGATATTCGGATTAAAGAGTCTATACTGTAATTTGAAACGGCACACATGTATTTACGTAAACATTGTCCAAAATCTTTTCATAAAATTTAGATGCTCCAGTGGCGGAGATACAGGGTATCGGTGGCATATTTTTTTAAATAAAATAGTATGCTTTAAGGTAAACATCTTGATATTTTCGGATTCGTCTTCCAATTTTCTACAAATTACTACTCCCTTGTGTTTTTTAAAAAAAGTGATTTTCGAGTAAAACTTAAAAAACAAACTGAAAATACACATCGATATTTGAATAAAATACTGTTAAAAATTACATAATAGGCTCCGACAGCAACTTTGACATTTTGAGCGGTTAGAAGAAAGAATAAATAATGCTTTTCATCAGATTGAAGCAACAATAAATTTCGAACAAATTACATTTTCGTTACTGAAAGGATGTCGCACCTGTGTTCGTGGAAATGAAGGTATTTTTGAGCATTTACTGAAATAAAACCATTAAAATGATGACTAAAGTGATGAATTTCACCATTAAAATTCACCAGAGAATACGAGGTTTCATTTTCGGTCAACATTTGTGAATCACCCTGCAGAATAAGATACGGATTTCCCCATTTATTTTTTAATATCAAACATTGAAATACCCACAAAATCAGAGGTCTTAATCTATTCCGGATGATGACCGTACACATCCGATTTATGTTATCCATTTTGTATGCCCGACGCCATACTTCTACGTTTTATGTTGTACGATAGTCAAGCAATAGCTGTACATCCACTGCAAAACAGTGTCCTTGAAGACTGATTACCGTACGTGTACATTTTCGGTTTTACAATCCCATGTCGTGCACCGTCAATGTACATTTTCAATAGCAACTATGCGTACCTATCACCGTACAGGTACGTTTTGAGTGTGATAGACCCGTGCCGTACCTGTACAGTTTTCTGTCTGTAGTAGCCTCAGAAGCAACAATAAGAATCGATATCATCATGGTGGGCTTGGGGATTCCGATAGCGGATCCGCTAGTCTAGCCCGAGAACAAAGGCAGGTCAAAGATTCGTATTTAAGGCTAAAGTGCATAGCAACCCAAAAAACCATCGCAAGTTAAGTAACAGCACGGACCGTAAAAACCCAAAAACCACAAATACATCTCTAATTTTGAATTTTTAGATTTTCTTAACAAAAAAAAAACTATTTCATAATACATTTTATTTACCTCTTTGACGACATTGTAAGCATTCGTCATGCCCTCCCTGATGTCCTGCGGCTGATGGTACCTCTTCCTGCGGCCCTTGGCCTTGCCCTTTCGCCTTACACTAGGACCAGGCGACAACATATCGTAAGCGGTTTCAGCAGTTACCTAAAAAGGCAGATATATTATATAAATAACATGATTAAAACTGCTGCGAAAAACATACTGCTCACCTGTATTAGATGGATAATTCGTGAAGTTAATTCTAAAGCAGCCATAGCGGTTGACGTGGTGAAACTATTCGCTCCCCTTTGAAGTCCTCTTACGATACGTCCATCTTTCTGATACTGTTCGATAGGTAACCAAAATAGGTCTCTGACACCTTGGACTGGAACGAACGATTATTTAGATATTTTAACGATATATTTTTCTAACCAATGAATTTTTTTTATAGAGATATCCTAAATTTACTTTTTATTAAGTTACTGCTGAAAAAATTAAGGGGGGAGATACAATCAGTTGGCCAAAAAAAACAATTTTTTTTCTTTTTACTTAAAAAGATAGTAAATTTATAGTGGAATACCTATGTAAAGTTTCAAAATGAAATTCAAAGTCCTTCTATTTATTTTCGTATTTTGTTGAAGAGAGAGCGTATTTCAACTCTGTCAACTCAGGGGACCTTTTGTCTATTGTGTTTTGTTTTGAAGTACCCAGGGATGGATTTATTTATAAGCGTCGGTATATATCTACAGAGGGAGTGCACGCATCGACACTGAAATTCATGTGTAACAGTTAGTACAGCTCTATCACTTGATGTAAACATGCGTTTTTGGTAGTCAAAACTTTAAACGCAATTTTCTCAAAACAGCATTTTTGAAGCTTGCGTTGATGATAACTTAAAAACAGTTTGACCGATTTAGCTGAAACTCGCAGGATTTCTCCTTTATGACACCAGCTTCTAGCTAAACTAAAAAAATTTGAAATTTTATTTTGCAAAACTCAATAATTATTGCAAAAATTAAAGAAAAATTTCGGAAAATTGTAAATTTTTTCAAAAAGCATTGTCAAACAACAAAATTTTAGTATATTTTTTTTTAGTTTAGCGACTAACTGTCTCTTACATAATTTTTTTTTCTGGCCTTTTACAGATCAAAACGACGTCCAGAATCAACACAATGAATTCCTGTAGGTCCTCTGTGTAATAACATATATCTGCCATTTTGTTTGAAAATAAAAAGAAAGTATATACCTACTTCAACGTCCTCTTAACAAGCCTACAAAATGTCATTACGATTAAGTAAAAATTACTCATAAAAAAATCTTGAAAAACGTTTTTTTTCGAACCGTCTAATTGTATTTCCCCTCTTAACCCTTTCGCTGTGCAATACGTCTGAACGTGGCTACCGCGCCGTGCGCGAAAGTTTACCGCGTGCGAACATATATATCTCGAGCAGTTAGACCACTTATAGTATTACATTATGTTGTGTTAAATTACGATTTACGATCAATTTTACGATTTTATTTTGAATAAAATACAGTATATCGACAGCTGTACTAAATAGAAACTGAAAGAGAGATGAACAATCAGTACCAGTACCTTCTTCCACAAAGATATTTGTCATAATCGCTATAAACTCCGCCCGCAAAAATTCCCCATACCAATTGCAACAACCGAGTCACTATGCGCATTGTTGCTAATATATACGGTTTGAGCAGCCTGATCCAATTTAGCTATTCAAGCGAATTAATCCGTCTGGAGCAGTTTGAGCCCTATAAATTTTTAGCGAATAAATACGTCTGGAGCAGTGAAAGGGTTAAGCCTACAGTTCATCTCTACAATACTGAATCGCTTTGAAAGATTTTAAAAAAATCTGCAAATTTAAAAAAAAACATTGATTGCAGAACCTATGAAACAGAAGACATCAAGAAGTCCTAGTATAGCACCGCCTACTTTACTCCTGTAATTTAACCCGTTTACTTAACCTTTTTGTCAAATTACCGAGTTTTTAAGTTTGACATCTTTAAAATTTGTTTTTAACACAGTTTTGGATTGTGTTTAAGTTAAAATTTGGGTTAAGACTACTTCATGAATTGACTTTAATTCGCTATTAAAATAAGTTAGTACTTTTAAACTAAAACTCCTTACGGCATTCTAGTTAGACTTGGCCAGCAGTATGACACCAAAAGTTTGAGGACTCATTCTTAATAATTTCCTTGATACATGACTTGGAAATTTATTGGTATACATGCATAAATGCATTTGCAATATTGAAAAATAACATTCACCAGACGCAATTATGTAATAAATCATACACGCAGTTAAAATATATGCACACATTTTATGGTTCATCAAAGCCGTCTCTAATAAACTGCCATGAACTGATGAGCTGACGATGATATTTAGGTCACACAAAAATTGAGAACTTTTATTAGTTGATTAAATGAAATGTGACAATTCTAAAACTATGAGGGTCGATCAATAAGCTGTGTTTGAAGAAAAGTGATGTTGCTGAGAGAACTTGACATTACTAGAGTCACTAGTGACTCTAGACATTACTGTCATGTACTGCCATCTGTCAAAAGACACCAAACTAAATTTCAGACTGATTCATAGGTCAGTTTTTATTTAGCAGCCAGTTGTATCACGTGTTTCGTGTTACTCGATAAAATGGAAAAAGAGCAATCGATTCGTAATTCGCTTTTTATTTTTAGATAGAAAACATGCAAGGAATAAAAAGCGAGGTTGGATGCTGTCTATGGGGATTCTTTACCATCTATGAGTGAGATATTGGTTCAACGAATTTAAATGTGGTCGTACATCTGTTTTTGACGAGGGGCCAGGCGGCCTGGCAGATGTGGTTACCAGGGAAATCGTTGAGAATATCCACATGATTCTGGCTGATCACCAAACTAAAGTGTGCGAGTTAGAAGAGGCCGTAGGAGTGTTGTTCAGAACGGCAATCAATATTTTACATGATAAAGTAAGTGAGTATTGACACACAGGTGCCTAGTTTGCTCACGGTGAATAATAAGAGGCTACAGCTGACAATTTTGAAGCAGTGTTTGGTGTTAAGTGAAATTTGTAGGAGCTTTTATATCAAGGCGCCACCGTTGATGAAATCTGGATACATTATTATACGCCAGTTCAAAACAATGGATTTTTCTAGGTCAATCTGCTCCGAAGCAGATAAAGACGGTCCCATCAGCCAGAAAGGTCATGGTCACAATTTTTTGGGATTCGAAGGGAATAATTCTCACCGAATTTTTGCAGAAACAAAGAACCATCATGCAGCAATACTACAGCAAATTATTAGTTCGATTTGATAAGAAATTGAAGAAGACACAGTTCCATTTAACTAAACCACAATTTTTTGGGATTCGAAGGGAATAATTCTCACCGAATTTTTGCAAACGAAGAACCATCATGTGGCAGTACTACTGCAAATTATTAGTTCGATTTGATAAGAAATTGAAGTAGAATGGTCCCATTTAACTAAACAAGACAATAACGCACCAGCACATTCATCCGGAATTGTCGTGGCTAAAATTGCATGAAATCGGTTAGGAATAATTGCTGTCGCACCAGCTGTACTCGCCTGACATGGCTCCCTTTCTGTTCCCCATCATGAAACATGGCACGAGGGAAAAAAATCAGCTCAAAAGAGGTTATTGCCGAGAGAGAATTGTATTTTGAGGAATTTGACAAATATTTTTTGGAGGGGCAGGATAAATGGCAGAAAAGTTGGGAAAAATATTCGAAAATAGAAAATAAAATTGTCAAAAACTTCATCGTTCCTAACATGGGTAACTTTTATTGATCGACCCTTGTATATCTGAATTTTAAGAAAAAATTAAAATAAAATAAAAATTACAAGCAATATGAATTTTTACTCAAGACACTCAATTTTTAGACTTCTGTTTTGGCTTCTTTGCAGGAACATTAATGCCTAGATATTAACGTGCTTTTTATTTCATTATTAAAACAAATGTTGGAAATAAGAAATAATACTCACATAACTGAACTAATGAATGCATCGGGCCGACACCGCCAAGCAGACTGGGCAGTTGGTTCTTCTTGATATCATTCAGCCACTCTTGCAACAAGAACGACATCAATTTGTCAAATCCGAGCAACCCATGGCGATAACTCACACTTTTCAGTCTTAACTCTGAACAATTCAACTGACCCAGTCCCATGAGAAGGCCAGGGAGAGAACCATGTGTCATATCCACGCGTTTACCGTGGTAGTCCAAGCGTATCGGTACGTCTGGAGTAAATATTATAGACCTATAAAAAAATCTATTTTTAATCTTGTAAAACGTACCTAAAAAATTTAGGTAATAGCTCATGTCTGTAATATTTGAAAGATCATAATAATGATTTGATCAAATATTACCTAAAGTATATGGGCGAGTCATCAGAAACGGAACTGGTGGAGGGACCAGTGTCTTCGCTTGATTCTTCTTGTGTTCTGTTTTCCTCTATAAGCATTATTAAATTCTCGTTTACTACTTTTTTGGCATGTTGTTTTATCATTTCTTCATTACCTTCCCCTATACACAGTACTGGTGGTTGATGAGTGGGTGTACCATGTTTGGAAGGCGGGTTCTGCTTCTCTTCTACAAAGAAATTAAAAAATTAAATTTTAAACAGAGCCAGACTTGTTTATCCAAGAAAGTTTCTCAACAAATAAAAAATTATCCTTTTTTACATTTTCCTGCTAAACTGAATGGTGTTCTTACCAAGACGACTTCAAGAAATTGGCAACTAAATGTACAGAGACATGTTTTAGCATAGGATATTCAATATACAGGGTGTTTTAGAAAAACACACTGTAAATTCTAATGGTAACAGAGTATTAAATATTTAATTGACCATCAGAATGTTGCCGGATTACCATGTACGATCGATCGATAAATCAATAATAATCATACTTTAGCGCAGAACGCGCAGCTTCAATGTGTTTGTTTGTTTGTCTTGTGTGAGAACACCCCGTTATCTCATCATCGTGCATGCTCTCTTGGCCATCACAAAACCTCTCAAACCACAGGCATACAGTCGGACATGATACAACAGTTGATACGTTTCCGTGGCTGTTTTACCAGCTTTAAAATGGAACTTGAATGCTGTACGTTGTTCAATACTCGTTTCCACGACAACTATTAAAAAGTTCCTTCATGCAAAACATTATAATTTTGTAGTAGATACATTTATACTAATGAAATTTTGTTCAGGCACTCGAAAGATTTCCTACTACGTAGTTCCGATGACTGCACATAGATAGCCCCATGCACTTCGCCACAATAAAATTTAATAACAGGACTGTGATTATCCAAACGTGGCGCCGGTCACAAATTAAAGTGAAACCTTGACAAATTTCTTCCTTCCTATACCAACCGCTTTGTCTATTTATTATTACTTAACTCGTACTTATCATGGTATAAACTACAACAGCGAATATGGCGGCCATGTTTGATGACGTATTGTGGTCCATTTCTTTTTACCGTGTGTTTCGCTTTTCGCACCATTTAGATGAACATAAGCTGTCAGAATCTGTCATCTGTCAGAATCCCTTTAACCACAAAATATTTACTAGTGTTTAACTGTAGTGTTTCGTTGTTAAATAGTTGTTTTATTTAGTGATACGTGATACTGATAGTTATTAAAATGTGTTGTGCAGTGTTTGAGCGTAATTCAAACAATAATTGCCGAAATTTTGACTCCAACATCAAGTTTTTCATATTCCCCACAGACGCTCTGTTATGCGAAACTTGGAAAAATTTGTGTTGCCGTGCAATGTCCCAAATTCAAGAGTGTGTTCACTACATTTCAAGGATGACTATGCCCGAAACCTGAAAAATGAACTTCTAGGCCTGCAACCTAATAATTTCATGAATGAAAGAATTACAGCTACACCAAACTTATTCAGTATTTTTTATTTTTTATTTTTCTTTTGTTTATAGGTATCAAAAAACATTATATTTTCCTCTAGACTCCTAAATGCAATTTAATAACATACATAAACTTCAACAAACGCTCTAGTGTGTACGATAAGATAACCTGAAATGTCACTACTCAAATGTCAAAATTGTCAAATTACGGGTAAAGGCACCACCATTTAAATGGATGGTACGCACTAATGAATTAAGGAGGTTTATCGGGTACGGGGGTACATGTAACGTCTAACGAAAGTTTCTGTAGATTCACTAGTGACTAAAGTAGTAAGCCTCTAGATTTGTCAACGTTGCACTTGGCTGGCGCGCTAAGCTCGGCGTTCGCTCGCTTGCGTTCTATCATTCTGTTTGTTTGTATGCCTAAACTTGAAATATACATATATGTCAGACCTGCGAATTTCAAATAATACGTTACGTCAAGACCGCGGCGTTGCTGCTATCATGCACATAGAAGTTAAGTAAGTCAACGACAGCAGTTTGAGGGAGAATTACTATATGTATCTTACAAGTACATAAGCGATTTCTACGAGCTGTCATACGGTTCCTTAAATATCGGTATCCTATTTATACAAGTTGCTGTGGAAACTGTTCAGACCAAAAAAGTCTGCATTCTAATAAGACTTCGTACTAAATCGTGAAAAATTATTTTATTAAAATCTCGTCTCTTAGTTATCCAAACTAGTCATAATTTTTTTTGAGGATTTTCTTCATATTAATAACCTTATATTAATTTTTTTATGAATATTTGTCAATTCCAAATCAGATAAACCTCCTTAAGATGTTAAGAAGCAACCAAATATGAGGCGTGTACAGTTTTGATATGTAAAAAAAAACAAGTAAACTTTTTGTAACAATTATTTTATTTTTACATGGAAGACCACACGTTTATTTATTTTTCCACATAATTGTCACACGATTTTGTAATACGTCGACATAGAAGTTTGCCGCTTGATTTGACAGCCACTGCAACACAGAAAATCATCACCGTGGCGTTGAACTCCGAGATGCTTCTTCAGTTGCAGAAACAAGTGGTAGCTCCTGGGCACCAGATCGGGGCTGTATGCCTGTATGGAGGATGATCAAATTGTTCCCAGCCAAATGATGCGATAAGTTCTTGAGTCCGATTGGCTGTATGTGGACGGGCGTTGTCATGCAACAAAACGATCCCTTTATTCAGCATACCACACTTTTTGTTTTTGATTGCAGGGCGCAGTTTTTTTAAGGTCTCACAATATGTTTGGGAATTGTCACCACAAAAAATCAACAGTAACACCCCCTTCCTATCCCCAAAACATGGTGCACATGATTTTCTGAGCTGAAATTGTCTGCTTAAACTTCACTCTTGTGGGCGGTGTTGAATGCCGCCATTCCATAGATTGTTGTTTTGTTTCTGGTGTAACGTAGGCCCATGTTTCATTGTCTGTGACAATTGGGCTTAAAAAATCATCACCATCAGCATCATAACGCACAAGAAACGTTTGTTTTTGTGCGGCTCCGTCGACATTTTTGGTACCCACTCTGAGCACAATTTTCTGAGGAAACTTCTCCGATAACGCAGAAATTGTGAAGCGTCTGTCCTCTTTCACTTTTTCGTCGACTTTCTGCACCAAATCGTCAGGATCACTGGAGGTCGCCCACTCCGTTCCTCGTCATGAACATTCTTGCGGCCATCTTTGAAAGCTCTTATTCATTTGCGTACCATTCCATCACAAATTATGTTTTGTCCATACACTTCACAAATCTGACGGTGAATTTCAACTGCTTTCACGCCTTTAGCACTTAAAAAACAAATAACAGTGTGTATTTCACTGTCGGCGGGATTCTCAATCGGCAGAGGCATTTTCAATATGTAAAAGCCAATGTAAACACGATCGATTGATGCCGCAATGGCATCTGTGGAATGCACGGGACACTGACCGCAGCGCTGCAGCGGCAGAATATCACAACGGTACTGACTTAAAAAACATGCCTCGTATAATCGTTTGGATTGTGCTAAAACAATAGTAATTGTTAAAAAATATGTTATTCTACTACTGCTATGAATAAAAGTTCATTTATTTTCATACGTTTTAATTAATTATTGACAGAAGACCAAAATAAGCTTCCTTCCGAGTTTCTTATGGAAAAAGAGTGGGGGCACGTCGCCATGTGACGTCTTGCGCAGAAGCAGATCAAATTCGATCGACTAGTGTCATACTTCGTTTCGTTATATCACACGTACTTATATTATGTATATTCTGTATCATAAAAAAGATAATTTATGAGCACCTTACATAATGATGTAGTGATGCTACACCCTGAGAATAGCATATTTTTCTTTTGTTGTATAACCATTGAGGTAAACATTTACTCTATTTGGCCACTCTTTGAAAATATATTAAATCCAATTTTATATTAGAACAGCTCCCTTGGACGAACAAATTTTTATGGTCATGGTGGTATCTGGTTAAGAGAGATATTCCACTTTATTCCATTATTATTTTTCTAATTTCTTATTTAATTTGTATGTTAATAATAAACTGCATTTTGTATATCAATTTTACCTGTAGTCGTCGAAGTGCTTCCTGCAAGCTCTTGGAAGTATGTGATTAAGAATAGCAAAGAATCCTGATCGATGTTCAGCCGAAGGGGCAACAGGGACACCTTCAGTATGCACTCTTGGGTTTTCAACTTGGGATCGGGTCTGATATGGACTGCTTTGATAACAACCTAATACCAAAATGCACAGAAATTTTAATGACGAATGGAACCACCAATGTAAATTTAAGTGTACTAACCATGTTAGAATTCGTTTGTTTTGGTCTGGCCTGACTAATGTATTCGTATAAGAACTTATTTATTTGACTGCATTCTAATCTATCTCTAATTTCTACTTCTGAAATGGTCAAAACCTGCCTCGAGGCTTCCTTTGTGGTTTCTGGATAAATCTCGTGTACAAATCGCACCTAAAAATATATGTCATAACTTCCACTCTCCAGGACAGTTTTTTTTGAAAAAAAATTAAAATAAAAATAAAATAGCAATTTTCTGAGGAAATTTTCAAAACTGGGAATGGAAACGAAAATGTAAATGAGATTCAGAATGGGAACCATAGGGCATTACAGCTTACTTTTTAGTATTAGTATTAGTATTAGTACTATTAGTCCACAGTACAGGCCCCCTCTGGAAAGTTGATTACCACATACTTTATAACTCCTGAGGAGCTTCATTTTGACGAGTCTACCACATTTTTCTTCTGCGACTTTTCTCGATTCCTCCGCTTTTCCACTCGGAAAAGTTCAAAAACATGGCAATTTCCCGGGGTCTTGAAAACTCAAGACCACATCTTCTATTTTTAACTTAAGTAACTGGAAATTTTGTTGCAAATGCCGACTTAAATTTGTCCGACAGAAATTCCTCCGACATTGACGTGTCTACCGGTCGAAACATACCAAAATAACAGGGTATTGAAAATCGATTACCACATAGGTAATTTTTAGTAAAATTTATTGTAAATAATTAATTCAGTCAAAAAGTATTGTTGTCCGACAAATTTCAGGCCGCGTTTTTTCAGTCCGACAGCTGGAAATCGGAATTTTCATGGGGTATGAAAAATCGATTACCACATATCTAATTTTCATTTTTTCCACTTTTAAATTTACTATACAAAATAGTGATATAAGTGTCCGACAATTTAATGTCCGCAAATTATTAAAAAATCAATAAATCAATAAACGTGATGAAATTTAATTTTTTCACTCCAAAAATTTCATATTTATAAATGGTTATTAATTATTATTATGTAAATTATTATTTGTTTCAAATAAATAATTATAATATTGCTTATTTTATGCTTAAAAATTTAAAAGTTATAAACAAATGAAGTTATTTTTGAGGCGATTAATACTATCTTAGTGCATAATGCATTATTTCTAAATAAATTAATATTATACTTGATATAAAAATCCTTTTTTCTCTTTCAAGTTTTCATTCGCGTTTGTTATTTTTCTTTACAAAAATTTTCCTATTTTTCTAAAAGAAAATCCCAAAACTTTTGTGCATAATTTTTTTACACCATACATACTTTTTTGAAATCGTTTAATTCTTTTCTCGATATTTATTTGGCTAAATTGAGCATATAGAGATTTACAATTACAAGAATAAAACGAAAAATATATACAGGGTGTTTCAGAAAGACCTCCCGTAAATAAAGAGGGTGATAGTATGATAAAAAATGAGAATTTTTTGTCTTATGAACTCTATGTCTATCTCCTCTTGTTTTCGAGATACAGAGAGACAAAATAAAATTTTTTAAATAACATTTTTATGAAAATTTCCAAATAGTGCGAAATATTTTTATGAAATTTGGTAGCCCGAGGTTTTTAAGGGTGCCAAATACGCTAGTCTAATTATTTTTTGTATATTTCATAGAAAGCGCTAGTTATGCTACATTCTTATTACAATTTAAGTTATATTTTTTTTAAGGTTAGGTTTTTTACCAGTCGGGCTCTAATTTCTATTGTACAATTTTATTTTCTAAAAATAATGTACTCTTGTTAGAACTTCCTAATGTGGACGATTTTCGAGAAAAAAGGCTTTTAATTAAACTCTTACAATATTACACTATAAAATAAGTGACTTTTCTCAAAGTAAGCTTGAGCTTTGAGAAGAGGAGATAGACATATAGTTCATATGACAAAAAATTCTTATTTTTTGTCGTCCTCACCCCCTGTATTTACGGGAGGTCTTTCTGAAACACCCTGTATTGTATATTTATATGGAATTTTGCTTAATACATGAAAATACCTTATTAGAAATTATAAATACATGTGCACATTTTTTACGAAATTTTTTTCATCATTTTTTGTCGGACTGACGATTTGCGGATATATTTTTGTCGGACATTACAATTTTTGCTTATAAAAAACACTTTTCTATCGTGTGTTATTTTTGTCCGACATGTGGTAATTGATTTTTCATACCCTGTGAAAATTCCGATTTCCAGCCGTCGGACTGAAAAAACGCGGCTTGAAATTTGTCGGACAACAATACTTTTTGACTGAATTCATTATTTACAATTAATTTTACTAAAAATTACCTATGTGGTAATTGATTTTCAATACCCTGTTATTTTGGCATGTTTAGTTGGTAGACACGTCAATGTCGGAGGAATTTCTGTCGGACAAATTTAAATCGGCATTTGCAACAAAATTTCCAGTTACTTAAGCTAAAAATAAAAGATGTGGTCTTGAGTTTTCAAGACCCCGGGAAATTGCCAAGTTTTTGGACTTTTCCGAGTGGAAAAGCGGAGGAATCGAGAAGTCGTAGAGGAAAAATGTGGTAGACTCCTCAAAAGGATGCTGCTCAGGAGTTATAAAGTATGTGGTAATCAACTTTCCAGGGGGGGCCTGTACTGTGGACTATATACCTACACACCATTTCAATGAGTTTGCTAACTCGAATAATCGTGGCGAATTAGATCAAACACATGCCTGTTTCAAAAATCGGACCTAACTCAAATTTTATGGGCTTAAAATTAAGTAAAAAATACCAGAATAAAAGCTCAAATTTGTGTATTTGTAGAGGTCGAGGTCATATTGTTTACAACAAAAGAAAAAAATAATAATTGCTCTTTTTTCAGTTTTTCGCTTATATCTTCGAAAATAAGCCTCTAATCGACATGAGGTATACTAATCGATTTTGTTCCTGAGGAAATTGCTACAAGGATAGATTTTTGCAAAAGCTTGCAAAATTTTTTTTACATTGTAATATTAGCGGTGATGGAAAAAATGTGCAAAATTTTCAGCATTAAATAAAAATAATGAATTTAACTAAAATTGGATGAAACTACAGGAAAAGATAACTGTTGGGGTGCTCAACAAATATCCTCAATCCGAATCCCCAATTTCAAAATGCAAATTTATAGTCGAAAATGCGAGCGCATATATCTGCTGCCTAAGATATCGAAATTCAGTAAAAAAGGATCGAAAGGTAATTACATTGTCTCCCGTTTGCGTAAATTTCAGATTTTTCAGTTGCAAAATAAAAAAGTTATTAACAAAAAACCAAAAAATGGTAACTAGGATGCTTAAAAAACCATGAATTAAAAAAAGTGTCTCGATCCGACCAATAGGAGCCGAGATAATTTTTTTTTTCTTAAAAACTGTATTCTGGCTGTTCTATTTAATATTTTATAATAAACTTGGGCTCGTTGTAAAGTAGAAGATTTAATGGATTTGTCCAAGAAATGACCATTTAAACATTCGCTAAAGACAGAGTGATCTGCACGGCAGCCCACATGGTTGAGCGGTAGCCAGGAGAGCGGAGTGCTGTGATGTCATACTGCCCAAGCTGCAGTCGGCTTCTCAAAATTCTTACTTCACAAATGGATTATGGCACTTAGAAAGCTGCTACCGAGATGCCTTTTTTTAAATCAACTTATTTTTTTCCGCTCTTTTGAATGGTGTAAGCAAAAGTCTGTGAAAGTTATCGCCAGAACCTGATAAGTACATTTTAATTGACTTTTCACGTTTTCGGGAAATATGGAGGTTGCAATTTCGATGTGAAAATAAAAGGTTGTTTTCCTGCATTATTAACATGTTTTCCAAGAATTTGAAACTCATTGTGGTAAAAATTGTGAAAATTGAAGTTTTGACACGTGCTTAATGTGGTTTCCCGCATAAGTTCTTGAATGCTTATTATGAATATAATCGGCACGAGCAAAGTCAATAAATAGTGATTATGACGGATATATATGCTGCTAAATAACTTGTGTGTATGCCGCAAAAATTCACTTGCGTGTATCTATTGCGTACTAAGATATATAGCGACTAGCGTGGTATAAGTTGTTTTACTTGTTCATAACAGAGTAGATCTTTGAATGGAAATATTGTATCCTACGATTGTACTTCTGTGTCTCATGAGTTCTACATATCTATAAGAATTTATAACAATTTAGCAAATATATTAACTTAGGAAATATTGTTAGAACTGCTGGATGTTATGTGGACGTATTCAAGTATTCACATACTGATGGCGAGAATGTATTTGCAACAACTTTAATTAATATTATGTTTTATTGTTTTTATTTTCTTAGAATACAGAATACAGTACTCTATTTGTGACCAACATTCCCGCTAAGCCGCACACTAATTTTCCGAAAGTTGCGCAGCCGTTTTTGTGTTCTGCGCAGAATGAGCTTGTTCACCAATTTTTTTTAAATTTCATTTTATAAAATAATTGCAATTAAAAATGATACAAATCCAAATTTCACAAAAAAATTTAACATTTTTGCTCCCATATGCTTTTGCACTGCGCAGTCAATGAAAAAATTAAGAGGGAACATTGTTATTAACGACCGCAATTTTATTATAAATTGAAGATGACGTATATGTACGCTAGCACAAAAAAGGGATCAACTTCAAATTAAAAATTTTTCGTCTGTAACCAGAATGAGAAGAATCTTGGTCAATTTCTCACCCGCGTTCGTTTTCATCTGCTTCCCAGAAATTTTGTTGTGGTTTTGGTAAAAATTGTTGATTTAATCTCATTTTCATTTTCGATTTTGTTCCCAGTTAATTGAGCAGAGATTTTGTCATCCTATGCGTTCTACAGGGTTGGAAAGTCCCCATGGTTTATCGGCCGTTACGTGAGAGTGATAGAAATCCATGCGATAGACAAGGATGGCTATAGTGAAGACGTTTCATAATCTGAATAGTCACTGCCCGTTTCGGGTTAGAACTATTCAGATTATGAAACGTCTTCAATGTAACCATCCTTGTCTATCGCACAAATTTCTATGACTTACTTTATCGCTGTCACGTAACGGCCGATGAACCATGGGGACTTTCCGAACCTGTATATGTTTTATAAAAAAAAAAACAAATAAAGATATTGTATGACAATGATTTTTATAAGCTTTGATAACAATTTCTCAAGAGCATACTTGGTTCTAAAGTATAGGCCTATGCCGCTACAAAAATTTGAATATCACTTTACCTTGTTAAGTTGCAGCTCCATTAACACACTGTGATCCCTACTAGCACCACCCCTCAGTGTCCATGGAATGTTTTCCAGTTTCTTATCCGCAGCACTGGTTATATTCACAAAACCTGCATCTCTATTAGAAAAACTAATTGTATCCAACTTTGTATCAGAGAAGTTAACAGTCTTCTTTTTACTCTCTTTATCTGGCACCTTAAAATCATTCCCGCCGTACATGTGCCAAACAATAGTCATTTCACAGAGAGTGTATCTCATGTTGGGAGTGGGAAAGTGCTCCGGAGTTTTTAGGGCATCCATCCTACCGACGGGTATCGAGATGAAGTTGTCTATGATATGCACGGGCTCGTTGGTGAACCAGATGATCTCCGGCTCGCCACTCTTTGGGAATATCCCCAAATCCTCGTCGTTATCTACTATACAAAACTCGTCATCATCTTCAACCTCGCAGGTACATACCTGGTAGGCAACATCACCTAATTCGTCGGTTACTTGAGGTAGGGGCATGGCGGGGGGATCCTGAGATAACTGGTGCTCGTCGGGGAAGAAAAATAGTTTCGCTCCTCCCCTGGCAAACGTTTCAGGATCTCCTAAAAATCCATTTCAACCAAAATGTTACTTGATATTGGTTTACACAGGTGAATTAATCGTGAATCAATTAAAAAATATACAGGGTGATTCACAACTTATCCAAAAATTTGGGAATAGATGAGACATGAAAAATGAAGTCAATATCATAAAAAATTTTTTTGTAAAATCCTTATAATTTTCGAGAAGTTGTAATATTTTAAAGCCTTACATAGCTGGGCTACTGTAGTCTCTCCTCATTCGCGTTGTGTGCTGTACACAATTCGCACTCTCTCTCCACGTGGTCCCAGGCACTTCCGAATACTCAAATCCGATTTTAGTAGGTACTACATTACTTTTCCAAGTGTCAAAAATGGGTTACGTGTATAACAACTCCGAGTTGATGGATATCGAATTTATTATGAAGCAAGACAACCTTTGTGTTATTGTGAAGCATTTGTGTTATTTACAATGCAAGGCAACATTTGTGTTAGTTCGTAGAAACTGTGTAAGATGGGTCCAGTTTACACGTCGGTGGACGAAATTTTGAACATTTGTATTTGTATGTCAAATTATTTTATTAAGTAAAACCACAAATTAATTTCAATAAATAATTAATTGTAAATTGTATTTGTAAGAGTCCCCTGTACATCCAAATTATTATTATTTTTTTTTTGATAAGTTCTGATTCACCCTGTAGAAACATACAATTTTTTCAAAATAAATATAAATATAAACTAAACTATATATTATATAAATATTACTTTTGATTCTCATGTTCCATTGGTATTCCTTAAAATAATATTAAAGTGCATATTTGCATTAGTAGTTCTGACACATCAACAAAGGCCAGTAGTAATGCCATGTTATGCGCTAACACCCAGTGGCAGCGTTAGTTGCTTAAGGGGTTACACTTAGTTAGATTAATCGAAATGAATTTTTTTAATAGCATATTGTTTGAGGAGGTACTTTATGTCAAGAATATTTCCACAAAATTTCATAAAAATCATAGCATTCATTAAAAAGTTATAGGTACTTCGAGAGTGCTACATCAAAAGATTTGCGTGCAGCTCGATAAAGGTTATAAAAAAATTTATTTTAAATGCAAAACTCAGAGACGTCAAATTTTAAACATGATTTTGTACTTACTTTGCCAAGGAAATGCTCTCTCAATTTTTAATATTTTGTTATGAACAAATTTTTAGTACCTCAAAATATACAGTGATTTCACTTCACTATACGGCTGAAATCTGCTTTATTTTACAATTTTCTATAAAATGAGTCAGCAACTGAGACGAGGTATTTGATGATGAAGCACTTAATTGAAAGCAAAACACTTGGATTCAGTTAGATGGAGCCCCCGCGCACAATGGTCGGCAAATGCAAACATGGTTAAAAGGAAATTATGGATATCGCTGGATCGGACATCTTCCACCAGGATATAATGAACCTAAGGTACCTGGTATAGGTCCAGTAAAATCGCCACCACATTCACTCAGCCTTAATCCTACGGGTTATTTTGTCTGGATATTTTTGCAAAATAAAGTTTATGGTAGATCAATTTTTCTCAAGAGACAAATTGTGGTTAAGAATAGAGAAAAACTGTAATCTCTTCAGGGAAAATCATGTCATGAAATCTTTCTCTATACATAGCCTGATTAGATGTCAAAAGTGTCGATGCAGAAGGACTTCATTTTGAACAATTGTTGTAGACTCGTTACTTGATTATTTACTCGACCTATTTGCTATTGTTATTTTATTATTAAGTTTGACATTTTTTTAAGTTTTTTTATTTTTTTTTTTCAGAAATAATATTTCTATAAGAAACGGCCAGTGGCATATTCTTGTTTTGGGAAAAGTACGTCACTGGTTAAAACTACAAGTTTAATATTTCATCAAATAAGACTTAAGAAAAATTCAATAAAACGTCAAAACAAGCCCAAATGTCTCGTAAACAGTTGCTACTATTAAAAAACACGAAGGAACATTTTTCATTAATTTAACGTAACAGTACCTGAATTTAAGATAATTTCTACAAAAAACCGCCTGTGTCGTATATTTTTCTTGGGAAAAATGCATTATAAAGATGTGACAGAAAATATATTTTTTTGTACCACGTTCCACAGGAGTTATAATAACTTGTCCGCAAGTCTAACAGTTGCAAGGAAAAAACAGACGTGGGATTCAACAGGGTTCCAGGAAAAGGCCCACGGCAGATTGTCGCCAAGGACCGGATAATTATACCTGCGAGCGACTCCACACCAAGAAGACTCTCCAGCAAACGCTCGCTCCAACAACACTTCTTTTTCACTAATTTTGTTTTCAATAAAAATACCTTTATTTTACCGTTGAGAGTTTTATTTTGCTGCATACCATAAGCAACCCTCAAACTTTACAATAAATATTTATTACACTGATTAAAAAGCAATTTATGAAAATCACATAATTTTTCGCAACTAGATAAAATGTATTTCCCCTTAAATGCAAATAAGAAAAATAATTGTAATGTGCACACTTCCTTAAATTTTCCAAATTACAACGTCTTAGAAGAGATGTTTGTTTATTTATATGCAACTAAACTCTGGTTATGAGTACCGATATGACACTAACAGCACTTATTGAAATGACCTGGTTATGACAAGAGACAATGAGCTTTGTCATTTTATAATAATATTCAAATTAAGGATCGTATTTGTTACTTAAATTTTCAGATAATTCGTATTCATAATGTTTACTGTTATATTACTCACCTTTTCAAATGTTGTTTGGATTAATGAGAAAAAAGATACATTTTAATTAGTAATTAAAACTAATAATTATATTCTTATGACAACCAATTTAAATATAACCTACCTTCTTCACATTCATTTTCCTTCATGGCGTCCGTCAACATAGCGTTTATATACTCGTGTTCGCTCTTCGACAGATTAGTGACGTCTTGCGGTTCCACATTGACTAACTGCTGCTCAACCTGGTGTTTGGGACTAGAGAATGGGGTTTTGTCGGATGTCGCTGGCGAAGAACTGATGATGTCTCCGTCTTCGGCAAAGTATGTTATTAATTGCATTAATGCCCGTCCACTATCGGAGCATGTGTGAATATTCAGGATGTCATTTGAGGCACGTAAGTCGATGTGAGGGTTGATGCCGCTCTTCTGAAATAACAATAAAAAATAAATAAAATCGATTAGATCGTTTCATCAAAATCAGCGGTTTATTACCTTATCGTTTGTTTTCAAGCTCAGTTCAAATAGTCCCAGATCGATAACGTTGACATAGTCCCTTTTTAAATCAACGGGTGCAGATGATGCAATCCCGTTTCTTGGAGGGGCTTTTTCGCTCAGGAATAATCCGCACTCCTCGAAAATAAAGCGAAGAGTGGAAGTATTAGCTTGAGCGGACAGATGAGATGACATGCTGAAATTCCCCACTGTTATGGCACACCTTATCGGCATATGTAAGGGTCTAAAATAATAATTATTGTCAGTTATGAAAGAAGAAATATTAGCGAAACAATTTCACACATTCGTAGCTGAAATGTTACCTGTAATCAATGGAGCAGTCCCAGAGATGTAGATGCAATTCAATTAACACATCTTTTGCATGATAACCAGGAATAGGGTAATCTTGCGGATTAAAGAAGTCCAACATGTGTGATATCCATGTGTTGGGTTCATTGCACATTCGATGTCTTAAAGTTGCTTTGTTTATGCCCACAGCCACTTGAATCGTCTGATAAAAAAATTGTTATTTAACAAACTGCCAGTAGTGTCATGAATTATGTATACCTTTACGTTATGAGTTTCATGACTGGCTTGAATTTTCATTGCGACAGTTAACATCTCTCGGTTTCCACCCCTATTTTTGGCGGTTGCAAGCATTCCACTTTCAGATTTTTGGATAGTGCAATGTAGGTGCCTACCCGGTGCTGACCCGACCTCCTTTAGTGGAGGTCTTACATTTGGTATAGTGATCATATCTAATTAAAAAAAAATAAATATTAAAAGAAAAAAAACTTTTCTATAGTTCATATAAAAAAATTACATTTTCTTTTGATATTACAAAATTTAAGTTTTAAAGTTCAATTTTTATCAAAAATTTTACAATTATTATCAATTTAATCATTAAATTTATTTTCTATATTCACTTTTTTAATAATATTTCTAATTATTATATTTTACTTAAATAGCTTATTATTAGAGCTAATGAACTAACGATACACACGTCGTGATCCATTAGTGTGGAAAAGTTACACTACCTCATTTATTATTTGATATACATATATTTTAACATATTGACATTTATGTATAAAAGACAAAGACAAAGACTATATTTGCTGTAGACAATTTAGCATATCACAAAAAGTATGGTGCGAAGACCAACCCAACCAGTTTATTAACCAGAACATGAATGCCTGGCCAGTGTGTACTCGATCTGAATCATCAAAATTCATATTGTATCCGCGATAATTTTTAAGATGCAAGCGCACCAAGCGGCGAAAGCAGTAAGCTCCGAGACAAGGTAATTTTGACATTGCCGTTCATGTTTCACATTCATTTGAGCAACATTTGTCTTATTTGCCATTATTTATTAGTAATTTTGTTATCAAACTGCGGTTATTTGATTTTTGTGTTATTTTATAGGTTTCAAATATTTCATAAATAAATTTTAAGGCAAGTATTTATGTCTACTTTATTTGTCTCTAGCATTACAATTTAATTTACATTTTATTAGGTTATAACTATGAACTTATCCGTTGTGGAATACATTTCCTATTTACATATATGCCAACGAAAACTCTCGTTGTATATCAGAAGGAGAGGCAGTTTTTAATGCTGGTACTATATGGGAAAATGGGCAAAGTTAATTTAAATTTAGAAATTTATATTATGTCTGCAAACTAGTGCCCTTACTTACTAACCCTCATGAAATTCAGGGAATATTATCTATCGGCAATAATATTTTGAAAATTTCTTCAATGGTTTGATGAAAACTTAATTCTGGATTTTTCTTGGACCATGATGAGCAACCTTGAACTGAACAATAATAATTTGACAGTTTCTTCTTTCTATCCATAATTGCTGAAATTCTCCTCAAACTATTTTCTTAACATAACAGTGTTCAAAAAACGAACACTAAACACAGTTTTAAATAAAATACAAAACGAAATGTCACACACAGAAGAAATGTTTACCTTGTTTGTTTACCTGTCAATCATATCGTCCTTTTTATCACGTAGAGGCATATGTGCATATTATGAATTTTATAGGAGAGATAAAAAACGAAAATATGTTCAACTTACGTAGTTGGTACTTTTTTATTTAATTATCAAACTCATATTTTCGAATTACACCTAACAAAGTATATGTTACAACATTGACATACAGCAGCGTATGTATCTGACAGTGTATTTTTAAAACAGTGATGTTTGCACATACACCTATACATGATACCTGACTTGGTTTATTAAAGTAATATATGTGGTTAACTAAAATAAGGAAACTTTCATTTATCCTAAGAAAAGCTGATAATATAACAAAAATAATTTTTTGACCAAAAAGAAACTAAATTTTGCAGTACACTAAAGTATGCAAAAAACATCCAATATTGTAATGTTGCATGGTGACAGAGTTCCTAAAACACTAACGATAAGTTTATTCTTTTGTCTGTGGCGAGGATCTATAGAATTTCTAATATTATGGCATTTTTACAACTGGGGTCTCTCCCTGACACAGTGAAACTAAATCCTCATATTTGCGCTTCGGTATGTTTATAGGTGCACTATTTAAAGGGCAAATTGTCCGGCATAACTGAATTTTTCATTTTTTGGATTATACACCACTATGTGATGAAAGGGACGATATACAGCTCTTACGCTGCAATTCTTATAAAGCTTCTAAAGTTTAAGGTACGGGCACTCTAACGAAGCCGTACTTTAGCAAACTTAAGTGCTTTTAGCCAGGGCACTGATTTTTAGACACTAGAGTAGCAGACCCCCAGTGATATACAGGGTTCAGTTGAAACACACAAAAACGTTTAAAGTAATGCAATTTTTTTTTAAAATCAAGTGCTAGTATCCAAAGTGCGTCTTAGGTCAAACAAAAACAAATTAGAGATTTGAACATTAACCTGAATTAAAAAATAGAACTCACAATGGAAAAAGAGCAAAGATCTCAACATCTTTCTTTGATGTTCCCTGTAGGGAAAAGGAAAAACGCGAGAAACGAAAAAATCAGGTGACTAACGTCCCTGTACCGCAAGTGAAAAGGGATTTGGCAAGAAACGCTCCTTCAGGACACTTTATAAGGATCTATAGCCCTCTAAACATGTTAAAGGGAGATAATGGTAGGTCAACTCCACCTTAAGCTAGCCAACCTGAGTAAAATTTACATCATGGCGCCCATCGTGGGGCTATGACAGAAGGTCCTACCTAAATTTGCGACAATTTCATTGATTTTTTCTAATATTTGGTTTCCCCTTGTATCTCAAATATCAACAAATTACATACTTTGCCACAATAAAATAATGGACCATCATGTACCATGTGGCAATTCGTAATGTCAAAATTGATGTAAAAACAAAACATTTACTTACCACAATGATGAAGTTGGGAATTGTGAACCTGCACACAGACATAACCCAAATCATTGTCACCCTTGTATCCACTAACTATGAAAATATTGGCATCTTCCAGACCCAGCAGGAACTCTCCTTGCTGTCCCGGTATAACATTGTTGGTCGTCACGTCCCTCACAGGTGGGTTCAAACAGGCCAAGCCCTGACCAATTTGAATGTTTAACACCAAATAGCTTTGTCCCTTGCTTTTATTTTCGGTTTCTTGGGGCTGATACCTGCTTGAGAACTTCATATGGCTAGCGCAGGTTGAATAGAAAATATTGCCACCAATGTCACTCGAATCTTCTTCACTATCACTTTCCGATTCTAAAAAAATTTTGAAAGAAATAGTTAAAAGTTAATAATATTAATACTATTTATTTACCATACTGAATTCCACTTTTGCACATTTTGAAAATGTCTTGCCCTTCGGGGGCAAGACCAGCACCGAAAGCACCAAAATTAGAGTAGGTGGGGGTGTCATACAAGTTACTTTTGGGTTTTGGGGCGCTACATTCCCATAGTAACAGATCGTTATTGATTCTATTATAGATGAGTTCATAAATATGTTTTGAATGTAGCTGCACCGAAAGCATCGGTAGAAATACTTCCACCTGGATCTTACAATTGTCCGTGGTGGATTTTATGAATTCATCAATTTCCTGTTTATCGCCTGGCAAAATTAACTCTTCAGCATCATCTACAAAATAAAAGGATTCAGTTCGAAAGGAAGACGGAGGATTAAATGAAGATTAATTTTGTTTTATTGGAAACTTTTCTTTTGATACTTAAACTTAGGTAAAAATATAAGTATAACACAGATTCCAGAATTAAGTGAAAATTGTTTATTGCAATTTTAGTAATTTTAATTTTATATTTTTGGTAAAAAAATGATTCAAGTGTTACAAACCTTTTTGTGGAGAGTGGGGAGTATCGCTTTCGTGTACAACCCTTTTTGCACTAAACGGTCCCGGCTCCTCATTTCTTTGATCCACAAAGGCACCGTAAAATGAAGTAGTCATGGGATCTTGCTCTGGTAAATTGTACTGATCTGCATCCTCATTTTTTACAGGAAACACCTTAATAGTCAGTCTGAAAACAAATGATATACCCTCTATATACAGGGTGTTTCTAAAATAGGGTTCCAAACTTCTGCTGCGTTTATAACTCATTAAAATAAGCCAAACAGTTCCTATTAACATGTGCCCTAAAACGCACCCTTAGGAAGTTATATGCCCTTAAAAGGGCTCAAACAAAACTGTTTTTTTTTTCTGTTATTGACAAAACGGTCGCAAATAAATAGAAAAAAATGCGTCCCATTTAGGTTGGTGAAGGGGGTTGTCGGCCCGTAATTTTCTTTATTTCAATTTTTTTACAATTTTCTCTACGGATTTATAAAATCTTAACAATTTTATGTAAAAAATATTATCTTTGTCCAAATCGATATTTCCAATGGTTTTCGAGTAAATTGAGTTTGAAAATTACTCTGCTCTTTAAGTTATTAGGCCAAAAATTATAAAAATCTGTTTACCATGGCAAATAAAAGACTGACGTTGCCACAACGCTTAACAATTTAAGTTATTGATAAACTGCCCATTGGGCTTTGCAGTTTAATTTATTTATTAAATGAGCGGATCCTTCATAACTGCAATTTATTTGAAAAAAAAAAACAGTTTTGTTTAAGCCCTTTTAAGGGCATATAACTTCCTAAGGGTGCGTTTTAGGGCACACATGTTAATAGGAACTTTTTGGCTTATTTTAATGAGTTATAAACGCAGCAGAAGTTTGGAACCCTATTTTAGAAACACCCTGTATAACTACAACTCGATATTGAGGGAGAACCCTTTTTAAAGAGGAAATTAAATTTAGAAGAAGTTCGACTCCTAAATAAAGAATAAAGAAATGACCGAGAGACGCTTCGTGCCCCTCAGATCACTGTTTTGTGGTTCGCAAGGACAGCCTTGTGTAATGCTAATTGGTTTTTCTTAACCCTTTCACTGCTCCAGACGTATTTATTCGCTAAAAATTTATAGAGCTCAAACTACTCCAGACGAATTAATTCACTTGAATAGTTAAATTGGATCAGGCTGCTCAAACCGTATATATTCGCAACCATGCGCATTAGTGACTCGGTTGTTGCAACTGGTATAGGGAATTTTTGTGGACGGAGCTTATAGCAATTGTGGCAATTATTTTTATGGAAAAGGAGGTACTGGTAATAATGCCAAGATTGTTAATCTCTTTTTCAGTTTCTGCTTTATAATGAAATATTAATAATTAAACTATTACAATTATTTTGAAACGTTGAAACATATTTTAATTTAATTTAACACAACATAATGTAAAAATATAAGTAGTCTAACTGCTCCAGACGAATATATTCGCACGCGGTAAATTTTCGCGCATGGCGCGGTAGCTACGTTCAGACGTATTGGGCAGCGAAATAAAAATATCTCTCCTCATATACTTGTAGGAAATTGAACGCTCTACAAAAAAGGTCTCTTACAATTTTTTCGTAAACCTCACCGTTTAAAAGATATTAAAGGTTGAAGTTTGATTATTTTTAAGACAAATTTCTATTTTGCTTATGAATTTTATAACTCGTTAACAAAAAATCATTATGAAATGCGCAATTCATGGTATTGTAGGAAATTAACTGCTTTACAAAAATGGTCTCTTATGATTAGCCCACCCTAATATACAGTGTGTCTGATTAAGTCGGCACCATATAAGTATACTTTTTTATTATTGGTTTTATGAAAAAAAGTTATTCTTATAAAAAGTTCAGCATGTCCTAAAACCGATAATAAAATAATCAGATTTCAATTTTTTGCCGTCGTATACGAGGTTTGTTGAANAATAATCAAACTTCAACCTTTAATATCTTTTAAACGGTGAGGTTTACAAAAACATTGTAAGAGACCTCTTTTGTAGAGCGTTCAATTTCCTACAAGTATATGAGGAGAGATATTTTTAACGAACAGTTGATAGAGAGATATGAATTTTTTTTTCTAATACTGTGGAAAAAATGGAAAACTGTAAAGCGGAAGACCTTCCTATTAAGATTAAGAGCCCATATTTGGAGAGAATTTTCTAGAGGTGTCTAGCAACCTATTTTTCAGAGTATAAAGTAAAAAAAAATAGTCGATTTTTTTTGCCCACCCTAATATACAGTGTGTCCGATTAAGTCGGCACCATATAAGTATACTTTTTTATTATTGGTTTTATGAAAAAAAGTTATTCTTATAAAAAGTTCAGCATGTCCTAAAACCGATAATAAAATAATCAGATTTCAATTTTTTGCCGTCGTATACGAGGTTTGTTGAAAAATGTAAATTTTGCTCAAGAGTAAAGTACCTTTATTTTTTTACAATATCGACAATCGTTATTAAGAAAAGTTGATCCTAATAGAAAACTACGGTGAGATATCCAATATTATCCATCTACAATTAAAAATAATCTTTAATAATTTTTGAGTATAAACATAGTAGGAAATAAACAAATAAATTATAATTTAATTTTGCAAATCATAAAACATTTATTGTATTGAAAAACATGATAACCTTTAGATTCATTGGTAAGTTATGTAACAATTTGCTATTGCATTAAAACAATTAATGCAAACATAATATAATAATTTGTTTTACAAATGAAAAGTTAAACAAGTTGACTAAAAAGTAACAATCATAACATTATTTGCAATTAAATAATTTGTATTTTGCTTCAGTTTAATTTCCCTTTGTTTTAAGTAGTCCCAAAGGAAATAATCCAGACGGGTTAAGTCTGGAGATCTAGCTGGACAAAACATATCGGAATATCTATGTAACAATTTCATTGAAAATAGTTTCAAGATATTCCCTAACAGCTACTGTACTATGGCATGTAACACCGTCTTATTGAAACCACATACGTTGATGGTCTTGTAGGGACAATTCGTCTATAAAGTCGTTTCATTTTGTAAAAGTTATAGATGACGTTCACCATTCATTAACTGTTGAAAAAAATATGGTCCTATTATTTTCTTCTTGTAGATACCACACCACACGTTTGTCTTGAAACAATATTGGTCACGAGTTTTGATTGTAAAATGGGGATTACTAATGACAATTTTGTGAACTGAGGAGCATTTGAGGAGAATGTCCCTTCAGAAAAAATTATGTCTTAATAAAGACGGTTTTTCTTCTAACTTTCCTTGTATTAATGAGGAAAATTCAAACCGTCTATCAAAATCATTTATTATTTATTTATTTATTTATTTATTTTTTAATATTTGTCATTCTGTACCTCTACTTACAATATTTTCTAAAAAAGACATTCTTTTACTCAAAGATATTTTTGGATGTTCTACAACTGATAGCATCACTTGTAATTCCGTTTCATCATCTACAAACCGATCCTGGCGTTTTTTATTAAAATTATTATTGACACTTCCATAAGTCTTAAATTTATTTAAAATTCTCATAACTGTTGAATGTTAAATATTCCTATTCGGATGTCTGTTATTAAAAATTACTGCTGCTTCTCGATAAGTTTTATAATTATCTCTCACAATCAAAACTATTTCAATTTTCTTCTCAGAAGTTAATTGAGCTGCCATTTCTTGTATTTTATAAATTGTAACTAGCGTTTTGACATTTGCTATCAAAAATTCATTTGTTTGTCAGTGTACAATTTTTTTAAAAAAAAAACACCCTCTACGTCCAACAGGAGCCAAGATAAGAATTTTTTTTTAAATCGTAGCGCAATTGTTTATTAATATTAAGACTTGAATTTTTCGCAAATTAAAGTTTACGACGTAAACTATGATTTCCCGTAGATTGCATTGAAAAATGTGGAAAATTAACGACTCATGAGCCCTTTCAAGAGAAGGTACTCGCTAAGTAAACTGTCCGGCGGCGTGGTGGTGGGGGAAGCTCGTCCAAACGAGTCACACGCGCAAGAAAAGTTAATTCCAAAGTTCAAATTGATGCGCGCTGTAAATTTTGCAATATCTCGGCTTCTATTCATCATAGAAACTTATTATTTTTTTTAAACTGGGGTAGCTCGACGAAAAAATAACAATGGGCATATTTACGAATTCGTAGAATAGCCCTGAACCCCAGAAAAAATGCATCTTTTATACTTATCTTTTTTTAAATTACAAAAATGTCAAAAATTATTGTTAAATGAAATATTAATTAATTTCAATTTCGGAATTATTTTACTATTATTAAATAAATAAATGAAGCTATCGTTATTTTATATTTAAATGCAAATCATTTTGTTTATGTTGTACATCTTAAGCTGTGTTGGAGTGCCTAATACAGCCTAATCTGCATAATTATTTATGTTTGGTGTTCTTTTTAAGTATTACTTCAAAAGCGGCAGCTTGACGCCGGACGGCCTAACCATTGCAAACAACAAGAAACAATGTGCAATGCGGGATATGATTCCCGGAAGAGGACCATGACAGATTGGCGCCAACGACCAAATACTTATATTACTCCACATCAAAAAGACTGCAGCGAATATATTTTTCTCTACTTAATGTTCAATAGAAACACTTTTATTTACCGTTGAGAGGGAGAGTTTCATTTTGATGTACACCGAAAGCAACCCTGACATATTTAAAATAAAGTTTAATTTTATACTTGTTTTATTTAATATATAAAAAATGGGGGTATTTATACTATATCATATTATCGAGGGATCCCGTTTATACCGAGATCCCGCGGGATTTCAATGTCAAGTGCCGCAAATACTGGATTTTCAATTCATTTCGGGATTGCAAGCCCTAGTTCCGATGCTTCTTTGATTATTTTTTATATTAGAATAAAATCAGTATTATTGTACTTTGTCACATTCGACTGAACAAATATTATTAATAATTCAATGAGAATCAATATATCTACAAATAAAATTTTCCACTGACCTTGACTGAAGAAGTACATCCTGCATAGATGAAGCAAACTTTTCATCGAATCCAGCCTTTCCGATTGGCAAACCAACGCTGCTCTCCGATTCGTAATAAACTATATCCAATCCCCTACTTTGTATATCGTACTCCTGGAATATCTGACTAGTTTGGAAACTTGTGTGCATCAGCGCCTCGTATAGCACCAGGGAAATGTAATCAGGCCTGACGTGTCTCTTCCACCAGGGAGTTCTATTCATGTCATGTGGAGGGCGAAAATCTGGTATCGGGAATCTGTAAACTATAAATTTAATATCCTACAAGAAACTTAATATATCAATTTACCTTAATTTTATATAAAGGGCTGGTGACGTAATTTTCAGATCTAATCTAGATTCTACGGGAGTCTCTGTCTGGAGCTGTTCAGGCCGAGAATGAGTACCCCAAGGATTGTATGCACGTTTTTCCATGACACATATTGCAGGGGGATTTAATAGGGCTGTTATTCGATCCGCAATTGAAATGTCGAGGTCCACCATACATTTGTTGAAAGATATGCTAGATATGAAAAAATGAAATTATTAAAACAAAAAATAAAATATGCAACTTTTAAAAAGTTCAACATACAAAATCAAACCATCCTGTGTATCTGGGAACAAATTAAATTAAAATAATGATAGTTTGTTACGCAGAATGTAAATAAAACAATACAAATCGACAGTAAAGCTTCATATCAGTGTGTGCCAGGAAACGCCCTGTTTTCGAGATACAGGGTGTTAAACTATGACAAATCAATTTGATTTCTTTTACAAAATCGATTTAAATTAAAAAAAAGTATTGAAACGATATTGTTCAATTTTGGCATGCAGGGTTGCCACCTTTTCAATTTTAAGATACGGGACACAACTTTTTATCTTTATTATTAAAAACCAACAAAAAAATGTATCTTTTTTTGTAAAACATATTCGACCTTCAGTCTCGTTTAAATAATAAATAAATAATAATTAATATATAAGTTACAGGGTGTTTGGAAAAGTTAGTACAAAATTTATGGAGGTGAAAGTAGAGCCACAAATAGTAAAAAAAAGTGTTCCTATGAACATTGGTCCTCCGGAGCACCGTTACTGCGATATGGCCCTTCGAAAGGGTCTTATTCTTTGGATATTTTTTAAAATAACTTTCTTTCTGATTAAGATAATGGGATGAAAATTGTAGGTAATAATCATACCATAAGGGTTTTTAACTATTATAAGTTTCATCAAAATCGGAATTTTCTAACTACTCTTAATAGAAATTTTTCAAATTTTTTTTATTCCTTTGAATTATCAACCAACTAATATTATTTTTTAATGAATTAGACTTTTTTGAAGAAAAAATGTACCTACTTTTTTTTTCAAATTCTGCATAGTTTAGTCAGAAAAAATTATTTTTTAAATAATGTATCTCAGAACACAAACCTTTTTAACATTTTCATATAGTAGGCATCTTTTATGATGACAGTTTCATTGTAATGATACTAATTGACTAGGGTTTCTAATTTCTCGGCCTACTTTTTTTCTCGGGACTCGAGAATTCTCGACTAGGAATTCCCGGGAATTCTCGAATTCTCGAGAAATTTCTAAAACTTAAAAATGTCATAATTTTGATATTGCAATGTGAAATATAAACATGCTATTATACTTAACAATCATCATTAACATTTATTATTTATTCAGTATTTTTATTAATTACTTATGTTTCTACCTCTACTAACAAAACTAGATTAAACTTTGAGTATCTTCTTAAAAACCTTTAACTTGTTTTTTTATTGAACACTTTCATTATACTTATGTTTATTTCAATGTTTTTGAATCATAGCTTTCTTCCAATAATTATTAATAATCATTAATCATGCAGTCCTTTAATTAAACAAATAGTAAATAAGGAATTTAACCGAAGAAATCTTAAAAAAACAAGCTTTAATTTAAAGATACAGAAGCGTTCTTCCTATTAATTTATGACTTATAATCACAATCCTTTAATTATTAACAAAACAAAAATAAAATAATCAACTAAACGAACAGGAACTAAATATTTTCAGAATCAACATCAACATTAGGCTTATAATAAAATTTCTACACAGACTTATAACTAGGTATATTAAAAAAATAAGAATCATCAAAGTAAACTAAAGCCTTAAAAACTTAAAATAAATAAATCATGAGCTAGTCGAGAAACCACTTTAACCGCTCAGTTATTTATCGAGAAACGAACTGAACGCATGAACGAAACGAACTCCAGCTCGTCTCGAGTAAGGCCAGATGTCCCGGGAATTCTCGCTTCGAGAAGTTTCGACCAGAAACCCTATAATTGAAGTCACTTTCGTGTGCCATAATTTCAATTCTTACGTTTGATCTTAGGTCTCAGTTGTGATCTTTGTGCTTGACTTTGCATTTCATTTGATTTTTTTATAACCATGAACCATCATGCTTTTACTAATAGTGAATATGTCGATATGTATTTTATTTATGGTTTCTGTAATGGAAATAGTCTGGCGGCTCAAAAATTGTATCGGCAACGTTTCCCTGACAGAAGGCAACATTCTGCAAGATTGTTTGGTAAAAATTCATACTAGAACGATGGAATCAGGTGCCCTATCTCCAAGATGTTGTGAATTTGGCTGCCAGAGGAGGCATAGGCTTGACTTAAGACGAAATAATTTTAGGATTTTTTTAACGTAATCCTACTGTGAGTGTAAGAAGAGTGTCTGCTCATGATGGTTCATGATTGTAAAAAAATGGTTGTTTGGGTTGTTTCCTAAGTACGAAAATACAGGACTTTTAGCGTCCCGTATGAACTAATGGCGGGACGCTGGACATGTGACCTAAATACGGGACGGTCCTTTGAAATACGGGACGGGTGGCAACCCTACACGTAAATGTAGTTTTTGATATTGTCTGCAAATGTATAAGCATGAAACAGATTAATTACATTCTAGGAGTGGACGTAGTAAGTTTTTGTTCACAATTATTTTCTCTTCAAAGCTATTTTTAATTAACTATTATGAAATGAGTAAAACGGGTTAATAAAAAAGTAAAATAAAACAAAATAATAAAGAAAAAACCACTGGCAAAATACAAGTTCAATAAATGTTTTTAAAAGCTCTGATCATTTTAAAATAAAACAAAAATGCTCTTGAGTCAATTCTAACTATTTCTGAATAAAATATATTTATTTTTGGTCAATAACTGCAGTTATAGTCCTTCCCAAGTCAGTTGAATATGCAAAAAAAAGTCTGGTAATAAAATTTAATGAGTTTCATAGGCATCCCTAAAAAAATTTTCTGCGAAAGGTAAAAAATTATAATAATTTGTATATGTGTAGAAAATTTATATTACAAGTTCATTTGGCCAACAACATATTTTAATTATTTATGTCAAACAATTTTATTATATTGGTGGTAAATTTTGTTTTGTTCCGTTTCAAAAGGACTCCAAAATGCCATGTTGTGATAATATTAGTTAACAAAATATCCCTCTTATTTCTCCCTTTCGTAAAACTTGTAATATGAATGATTGATAGAAGGTGGCTATAATAAATCAAAATTGCCTGATTCACACCAAATTCCGCACTGGTGCACTGCACTGCTGGGCAATTTATGAACTACTTGTCGCCTGCTGTGATTTATTGCCCAGAAGCCCAATAAAACTGAGGTCATTTCTACCACCTGCATGTTTAGTTCGACCAGACCTATATATGGGTATGGCTAAATAGATATGGAAACAAATTTTTCAAATATTTCAATGCCGAGTTGCTGCTTAGCGACCGAGCCTGGTACATAGCTTGAAATTATAGAATTGACTTCGGAAAAACTATAATAGAAATTATGTCAGTCCCACTATCAACACTCAAACAATGGAACCAGTATTTGTTTATCAAAGCAGGTCAGTGTTCCACTTGAAAAAAATGAGGTAGAGTAGTGGCCAGCATAAATAGATCATCCTTTGTAATACAGAGCCTTCATAAATGATTACAAGCCACCTGACCATGAAGCTTAGGCAAGCAACATTTCACGGCTGCTACTAACAATTCAAAATCCCTAAATCATAGAGATAGCAATAATAATGATTCGTTTACAATGAACAATGGCAAACCATTACGTTAACGCTCGAGATAAACACGATCGCTGATTGGTTGCATAAAATCTCGTGAAAAATTACACCAATCACCAGCCGGTGAAACAGAATGTGTGTTTTAATGTAATCTTATTGTTTTAATTTTATCGAAATTTAATTGCCAGCATGAACGAAATAAAATTACTGTTCTAAACAAAATTACTGGTGGCTTGTAATCATTTATGAAGGCTCTATAGAAAATAATTTTAAAAAGTGAAAAAATTTATTGGTAGAACTTGTTACAACTTCTTTTAACTGTGGTACTTTATTAAGGAATGTTTTTAATAAATGTTCTATTTTCTAAACGGTAATATTTCCAAATAGTCAAGTGTGCATTTTTGCAAGACTATTGTAAAGTGGGCAGAAATTTGGAAAAAGTAATCACTCTTGCATTATATCACGGACAAATAATTTTTTTACATAATAGCATTCAGCACTCTTCTCCGACAGAACGGAAAAATTTAAAATACATTTAAAAATTCTGTCGTTAATGACAAAATCATGCTGTGCTTCAAAAATAGTTGAGTAAAAGTATTTTTAAAGAAATTTTAGCATCTCCTATATCAGAAACCACGTTTCAAAAACATATGGAATATTTTTTTGATTAAGCACATTGAAGTACATTTTATAAAAAATGTTCCCTCTGATTTTTTCGCTAACTGTGCGGTACAAAAGGATATGGGAGCAAAAATGTTCAAAACATGCAGACGTGTGTAAGGGGAGGTTCTGTGGTGCCTGTGTTTGAAAATGGTGAACAAGCCCATTGTGCGCACAATAGAAAAACGGCTGCGCAACTTTCGAAAAATTAGTGCATGGGTTAGAGGAAACTTTGCTTATAAACAGCTAGATTTTATCAGTTCAGCAATGACGTCACAAAGTAATGCTTTTCGATGTCCGGAGAACACTTGTAATTTTACGATGTTATGTTCTAGTATGTTGATGAGCAGTCTATTAATGTATTTATTAAAAAAACCTGAAGTTCGAAAAAAAAATTGTATCCTATATGTTTATGGAATGTATCACTTACGAAATGTCTGTTCTAGGACCACTGTTCCTTCTCGAACTACCTTTCTTTGCAGTCTTTTCGATATGTTTGAAGTTCATTTTAAAGCTAGGTTTGGCAGTGACAGGACTAGCCGTTTGCAAGGAAGCAGCATCATCGAACGTTAATAAAGGTACGTATTCCACAGGACCCTCAGGAGCAGCATAAAGACACTCGAGGAGCTCCATTTTAGCAGCGATGATCTGGGCAGTGATTGAAAATGCAGAGAGAGTTGTCTTTTCGTCGCCCTCGATCTGAACTGGTGCAGCTAACAACCTAAAATGATAAAATTTAATATTTTGTTTTTTTTTTTGTTATAACTAGGAGTTGCTTACCTTAAGTGATTCAGACTGCATGCCTTCTCGAACGTGGCCTTGGTATTTTCAAAATCTTTATTCCCATAGGCAGTGATCACCATTTGTCCTAAGCTGCTAAAGAAATGATCGACAGTGCGTTGCATTTGATGTACACTGGGGGCGGCCAAAATGTGATTGGAATCAGCTGGTTTTACAAGTAAATCTTCGTGTAGTAATACCGTGGCTAGCGATGCCAGTCTTATTTGGAAATGAGAGATCTCGGCTGTGGGGTCTGTTTCTATGTTGTTTACTGGAGGAAATAAGTTATAATTATTCGTTAACTTGAGTCGTTTTCACTTACTTCTTCGTCTTGTCCGATGGCTTTGCTCCGTAACCGAACTTGCTATGCTAGAATTTGTACTGGATTCCATACTACTACTGATGCCAGATAAAGTACTGTCATACATTCCACCAACTGTGTTCCTCATAGGTAGGAAATTGTCATCTGTGTCACTCTCGTCTGGAAATGAAAATAATTTATCCATAAAATAAAAAATGTATGTATGTAAACATTTTACCCAGTGGTGCTGTAGACCATCCGTGAGCACCTTGTAGACCACCCACATTGAAATTTGATAGAGACTGTAACTGATGTTGTAAGTCTTGCTCAACACGTTGGTAATCAAAACCTGTCATTGGTCTCTGCATACATTTGGTTCTCGGTGCTACGTTACTATAAATAACAGAGTATTGTAATAAACCAGGGTTTATCTCTGAATGTCCAATTTTACAATAAACAGACAATCTGTACAAAAATATCATTGTTGTGCCTTCGAAATGCGACGTGCATATTTTCAGCAAAACACGTTAAGTCTGCACATACGATAAACGACATCAAACCGCATAATCTGGTTAAAAACAGCCATTTTCTATAGAAATGTGACTGTCTGTGATAAAATTAAAAATAATTCTTAAATTAAAAAGCTGAGAAACAATTTTTTTGACTACACTGAAAAATTTGATAAAATTCACGTCACATTTTGAAGGTGCAACGATGATATTGTTTGTCATCAATTTGGCACGATGATTTCAAAAAAAAGAAAATATTGATATTTTTATTTGTACACAAAAATTATAATGTCATTTATTAATAATTGTTTTATGGAGCCAAATATTTTCCAATGACTGTCAGTTTTTTTGTATCAAAATTACAGCATAATAGCTGAAACTAGTAATAGGCTGTTGAATATAGAATTTTAAAAGGAACTATGACGTTCAAGATATTTTATTACATGAATCATTCAAATGGACATTTTAGATAAATAAACCGTGGAGTGCTATTTAATTACAGGGTGGAAATTGGAGATAGGGTTGAAAATGCACCCCTTTTAGTTTTTTAATTGTAGCTCGAAAACGAAGCAAAATTTCGCTATAGTTCATAGGAAAAATTATTTAGAGAATTGAATTTCCCATCGAAATAGCTTATTTAAAAAATTTAAAAGGAACATTTTTTGCAAAAAAATCGTTAATAAACAATTTGAAAAAAAGCAAAAAACTCGATTTTCTGATTTTTTTTACTTTTTTGTCTAGTTTTTAAAATAAAAAATTTGTATTCGGACATTATTTGAGGTTATAAACAGATTTGTTTTATAAGGAACTTTTTATAGTGACATTTTTCGATAGTCAAAAACAAAAGTTTCTCCTCTTGTCAATTCCATCTGTGGACACACTGTATATACATTATTAATAAACTTTATTGTACTTAAATTCTCAAGATTTTACTAAATTATTTTATTAAAAAAGTAAAAAAAATTTAAAAAATCGAATTTTTTGCNTGTCATTGGTCTCTGCATACATTTTGTTCTCGGTGCTACATTACTATAAATAACAGAGTATTGTAACAAACCGAGGTTTATCTCTGAATGTCCAATTTTACAATAAACAGACAATCTGTACAAAAAATATTTTCAGCAAAACCTGTTAAGTTCTGCACATTCGATAAACGACATTAAACCGCATAATCTGGTTAAAAACATCTATCTCATTTTCTATAGAAATGTGACTTGTCCGGGATAAAATTAAAAATAATTGTAATTCTTAAATTAAAAAGCCAAGAAACAGTTTTTTGACTCCAATGAACAATTTGATAAAATTCACGTTGAACGCGCAACGATGATATTGTTTGTCATCAATTTGTCACGATGATTTGAAAAAAAGGAAATAAAGTGTAAACTCATTTTAACGAATCTTAAGGGATCGGGTATAAAGAATTTTTGATATGGAGGGAAGAAGGAAAAATAACCAAATTTCACCAATTACAATAATTTCCAATTTTATTATATACTTTCAATAGGTAAAAATTTAATTATTCCAAACACATATATTCTGTTAACTTTGTCTGACGTTTTTTGCTATGCCAATATTTGTTTTGTATTTTCCTAAGTATTTTATGCATGTCTTGGGATGTGGTGGAATCATCTTCATGAAACAATAAGAATTTTTCGATGAGTTTGGCGGCATCAAGTGCTTGTTGAACAGTTGGTGATGGTTCAGAATCGTCCACTTGACCATTTTCATTTTCTTCATTTGGTTCCTCTTTACTTTTTGACATTGAATCAAAGTCTTCATCAGTGAGTGAAGCGGTTGTGGCCAGGTCCTGATCTATATTTTCGTATGTTTGTAAATCTTCGCAGAAATGATTTGGTTGTATGCTGAACTGTTTAATCCAATCAATCAGTGGTAGATTGTCCTCACTACCAAACTGCTCTGTTTCTACTGTCTGACTGTTACATAGTCCCACGTGATGAAAAGAATGCTGTATGGTTGCTGCTGTTACCTCTTTCCAGGCTTCCGATATGAAATTTACTGCTTGTAGTATATTAATCGAGATTTTGCCGTCAGTTTCTATCAGTTCCATCAACAATTTCCTTCTATAGTGACCCTTTAGACTTTTAATCACACTCTGATCCATCGACTGCAAGATACTGGTTGTATTTGCTGGGAAAAATGCTAACTCTATGTTTCGAAGATTGGTTATAAAAGGGTGAGCAGGGCAATTGTCTACTAGAAGTAGACTTCCTTAATTTTTTAGTAGACCCTGCAGTTCCGCCTGTAGAATTGCTTCTTTGTTTTTCCAATTGGTAGCAACAGTAGATGGACTGAGGTCTAAACGTCTTACAACATCACTTTTCTTTTCCCTTTTTCTATCGCATATATCAAACAAACTTTTTCATTAACACATAACACTTTTCTTTTACTGGCCATATTGACAGATCCAAAGTTGGTTTACGACTACTGATAAAACACAATAGGTGCCTAGTGCGTTTAGTAGTCCTAGAAACAATGTAATCCAAGAGTAATGGCACATGTGTTCGAGGCAATTAACAAAAGCAAGGCAGTTGTTTACGTCCTCAGGGTGTCTTTCTTAGAAATTTCGGCACCTCAAAGATTTAGTCGGAACCTTTTGTAAGCTGATTATAAAAACAATTGCACTATTAAATACTTCTGTAAATATTTGCTGGTGTCTAAATATGAACATATTTCTTCGTAATAAAGAATGGCTGTTGCCCTATAAAGAGTGTATTAATGTATGGATTTTGACGTAAACCAACCAAATTGACTTAATTTCTATGTTATAGGTAGTTTTTCGATATAACGAACGACGTTATAATGAGTTTACACTGTAGTGATACATTTATTTTTACACAAAAATTATAATGTCATTTATTAATTGAATCGGTGAGTTCGAAAACTGTACAAGTCCAAAATTGGATATTATAAATGAAGATAGCCATTTTGTATAAAACATGTTCCCTCACCGAGTGAGCATGAAAATCATTACTTAACCGTTAACCGTACAGCACTACACTGTTTGGTTATTTAAAGCTTAAAATTAAATTTTTCTCAATATTCAAATAAAATATACACCAGAATATTACTACATCTTAGTCAAGTGTAGGTACAGTGTGTAAAAAAGATGTGTGAACGTGAGGGTTACAATGGTGTTACCTATATAAGTTTATTGTATTGCCATATTTTAACATTTTTCAAATCATGTCAAAAATATAACTTATGAAAATGTTTAAGGAGGGATTGTATATTTGACTACTCATATTCGACATCAGGAATATATTAATAATACAGCCGAATACCCATTCATTTTTAACACAAAATTCTAATTGAAACCGTAGGAAACAACCGCTGACAACCGTTCACTATCGGGTTTATGATAGATCTATTATGATGACATGACGAAGTGGGCTCCAAAATGGCGGACGAGTCTGCTGTCTTTTATCTAGTGCTACAGTTAACGGTATTTAATAAGTCGTTACTGATCAATGACGTGGAGAACCGTACATGTCAGTATTTCTCAAAATGAAGTTTTTAGACATGAACGATTTTCGAACTCACCAATTCAATTGTTTTATGGAACTAATTATTTTCCAATGACTGTCATTTTTCTTTTGTCCCAATGATAGCATAATAGCTGAAACTAGTAAGAAAGGGAGGTAAATGTATATTCTCAATTAAAAACGACTTCAATTTACCCCATCAAGCTCAGTGTCATATAGTATTACAATAGATTTAAGTGTATAAATTTGTATTAGTTATGGGAAATGTACCATTAAAAAAAAATTTTATTCTTAATTTTCAGTGACATTGTACCTGGTATCCTCAATTTCTGGAGTTGCTAAACCTTTAGCTAATTCGATAAAAATATACAGTTGTCTAGGTGAGAAGAACATTATTAGTGACCCCAAGTTTACTTCTATAGAAACTTTTGGCCCAGACAAGTTTTCCGACTGCTTCAAGCGAATTCTTATCTAAAACAGCACAACGTAATATAAAATCGAATGTAAGAAATCATTCCCAAACCTCTTGTGTACTAGAAAACTTTCCAAACAAAATCACGTGCCTATCGCTTTCAAATGGGTTGGTGGGCTTTTCTGATAGATTTTCTCGTTCACTCATAGGTACTTTTTTATCTTCCCCTTTGCTACCGCTAACATTGCCATCATCATTTAAATTGCTTTTTTCCAAGACTGTTACAAATGAGTCGTCTTTTTGATTATCAGAATGATGACTCTGTGATAATAATACCGACCGAGAAAATGTTCTAGCTTTACTAGCAAACTCTACTGTGGACATAGAAACACCTTGTATGGTAAATATTTTTGTTGTGAATGATTGCACTAGGTAGGCTTTTTTTGAGTCCTGATTTGTTAAATCTGTGGCTTCATCAGAAGTAGGGTCATTACCCGATTCATCCGAGTAATCGATGCTAAAATAATAAAATATATACAGTTACGAACAAAGACAGTTTTAAAATATTACTCACATGTCCAAGTTTATGATGATTCCTACACCAGTACTGCTATCTTTAGGAACATGTTCAATCTGTATGACAGTGTCGACAAACTTTACTTTCACCCTATTTAAAACTAAAAAAAAAAAAAATAGATATGTACCTAATAAATGGTAGTTGGTGTAAAAGATCAACATTATTTTCTGTTTATTCAAATAAATCCATATTTCTTATTAAACGGGTAACCAAAATTTTTATTAGTGTTACTATCAAAAAAAAACAAATTCTATTAATATATCTGTAATTTCTTTAAATCATGAGATTAAAGTAAATATTAATAAACTATTGCTTTTTAAGAACGGATTTGTGGCAACCTACTAGAGTCAATTGTTTGTGCAAAGAGTTCGAGACCCTCAAAAGGTTGTGCTTCATTAGGGGCACTTTCCGCATCTTGTTTTGCACACTCCTCTGCTAGTTGCATGGAACTGGTCATGGAATTCCACATTGACTCAAACATTGATGTAGCTATAATATAAAATAAATACCTCCATAACAAAATAAACAAACTTTGAAAAAGTAAAAGTAGTAAATATTTCGATTTATTTTTAATTTGTAACATTAGTAAAACAAATAATTCTGAATGTGTACTATAAATCATTAAGTTTATAGGAATTAAATTATTTTTTTATTTAAAATGTGGAACGAGTATCCATTGTATTTATATGTAGTGTTTTTAATGACCAATATTTAGATTTTTATTTGAAATTGCACATGTAATTTAAAAAAAAAATATGACTTAAATCAATCGCTAATAATCTCATTTTCAATGAACACTTAATACTTGAATAACAAAATATATGCCTCTCTGGTAGTAAACTTCAAAATGGAATGTGATTACACATTGTGTTTATCAACAAGTGTGACTCATTAAGTTCCTTGGTGTTGAACTAATCGAAATTTAAATTGTTTTCATTTGTGCCTTAGAATCGTCAAATATTAAATTGTTATTACTTACACCTTATTTCATTTGCCAAAGAACACACATTTATACATGTGTATACATTAAAAGCAAATTACCTCACCAAAAGAACAAGAATTTGGGTTGAAAAATGCATATTTATAAATTGACATGTTTCCATTTTGTTTCACATTCATAGTTTGAAAAAATAAAGTAGCTATAACTTACCCGACTCATGTCGTTGTTTTGGTTGAAGCGTCAACTTCAAACCTGTTACTTCTACATAACTTGAATCTTTCAAAATCGATGACCATGGGACTTTCAAGTAGAGTTTGTCGATATAACCATCTACAAACTCCATGGGCCAATTCTGCTGCTCGCCAAGTTCATTGAGAGCCTTAAGTAAAATAGAGCAACTTAAGTATATTTGTAGTGTAATTAGTATTACATTTATTATGCCACAAAACAATGATAAATATAAAAATAGTAGTCATTAGATATTAGATGTAAATATATGTATATGAGTAAAAAGATAATTTTAAATTGATTATGAGCATCGATGTTCATAACATGTAGGTTTGAATACAAAGAAATTATATACAGAGGGTCTAGATTTTTATTGGGGAACTCATCATGAGATAGAACTACTTAATTATGTTTAGAAATTTTTTTTTTATCACATAGAAAGCTTCATTTTCGGGGTACAGATTCAACACTGATTTACCTTATTATGTACAAGTAAAATATAAGTAGTTAACTTAAACACATGCGAAGGCAATATTTTGACATCACTAAGTATTATGAACATTCTATTAGTGATTTTCATTTTGAAGTGGCATTTCTAAGAAAAACAGATTTTTTATTTTAGAGTCCTTATCTTTATTATTTTAAAATAAACCTATCATACAAAATATATCACACATAATTCAGACTGTTTGTTCTATAAGGACAATTTATTGGAATTTTTTGTTTGAAATATAATTATAAACGATATGGTCGATATGTCAAAAATTTGAAAAGTTATAGATGGTAACTTTTATTTTTTAAGGGTATATAAAATGGATGAATAATGACACATCTAACAAAAAATAGTATCAATTTTTGTTTTGTAAAGTGAGTAATATTTACAACCAAGTGTTTAGTTTGTTTTAAAACAGATTTTTCTTTAGTTTAGTTCTTTAGTTAGTGTAGATTTTCCTAGGAAATCATCCACAATTTGTAGATGATTTCCTTGGAAAATCACCACAATCCTGCAGTACCGAGAAGAAATCATCAAAATCGCCCCCAGTCCTTTCCACAATTCCACATCCTTCTTCCAATCACCTAAATCATTTAAAACAAGCTGTGGTGGAAGTTGCGATTCTTAGCAGATATTTATTTATTGAATATTGTTTATTGAGAGAAGGTACTACAATTCCTAGTTTTAGGAGTCATCAAAGAAATCAAAATGGTTCCCCAACTAAAAACTCTTAAGAGTCCAAATGCATCACAGACAAATTTAAAAGATAGATGAAGGAGTTTACTTGAATTTTTAATTGTATCCTTCATATGATCGACACTATAATATGCATTAATTTGGGAGGAAAGACAGAATGCTTTCCCTTTCTTTTCTTCTTACAGAAAGCTGTCCTTCTGAGCCATAAAGTATAGTAATGTTCAACGTTTATAGTCCATTTTTGGATTATTACACCAATATTAAAAAAACATACAAGATCATACAGTACCTATTTCTTCATACCCTGACAGTCTGTCTTAGAACCACAACAAGAACTGAAATGAATATCAAGGTAGACCTAGGGGTTCTGATAGCGAATCCGCCCTCACAGAGCCGAGTCCAAGAACAAGAACAGGTCAAAGATTTCTAGCTAATAATAAGGAAGTGCAATGGCATAAATAGGTAATTTAAATTTCTGGGAAACTTAAATTTAAAGTGTAAGGGGTAGGAAATATGAACAGAAATTTATTAAATTAAAAAAAATGGATATTTCTATTTAAAAGGATTATTTGCAATCATTTTAAAATAATCGCTTCTCAGAAACCATGAAATTTAACCAGGAAGGAAATCACTAGCCAAAGCCTGTGCTTATACTCATTTTCACAATTAATTACTCAAGTATTATTCAGAAGTAATAAAAAAAGAGGTAGAGTGGAGGAGTGGTGGCTTCAGATAAATGTGTGATTCATATGTGACAGAAATATTTGTTTTACTACTTAAATATTATTGAAGTATTACTCAAATATTATTCAAGCTTGTACACCAAATTATTCCTGTGGATTTCCTGAATTTCCACAATAAACTAAATTACTCCTACAGTTTCCCCCTTGAAATATATACTTTTATTTTATTAATATTAACATCTTCGATTATTATTAACACTCGAGGACAAAACGTTCTACAAACGATGTTCCTAAGAAACTTTCTGGTTAAAATATTTTACTCTTTCAGCTTGTGATAAAAACCTGAACTGGCCTGTATATTATATTTCTTTGAGTAATAATGTCCTTAAGTCAGATCATTAACTTTAGGAATGTAAGTTTAATATACTTGTATCCAATACTTAATTAGATTAGGTACTATGAGGTAATAATAGAGAATAATTAATTATCCGTTTACCTATAAGATTTAAAAATTAATAATGAACAGAATAATCATAAATTTTAGGAACATGTTTCATTTTTCTTTATTTATATAAAATAATAAATGCTTTACAGATTTGAAGTTGCCATCATTAAGAAACTATACCTAATAATAAAAATTTTATATCCTTATATAACGTTTAGCTGATAATAGTATATTACGTAATAAGTGTTGTAAAAAGCATTTTACGCACGAATGGAAAAGTTACGCACGACGCCGCCTAGCGGCGAGTGAGTAATTCTATGAGTGCGTAATTGCATTACACCACGTATTACGTACTATACTTTACCTACGACCACTACTTTAAATACTTAAAAACACACCGTCTGCGATCAATGCAAGATTCCTATTACGTCGTAAGGTAAAAAAAACGCACAGCTTGGTAAACAAATCGTACAGTTTTCCTAGCAACCGCCTAGCAACGGTCAATACAAACAGTATTGTATTGGCCGTTGCTAGGCGGTTGCTAGGAAAACTGTGCGATTTTTTTACCGTACGTAATAGGAATCTTACATTGATCGCAGACGGTGTGTTTTTAAGTATTTACAGTAGTGGTCGTAGGTAAAATTAATTATTTACTATCTAATCTAAATAGTAGAAAATTATACAATATAAATTCATGGAAAAAGCCACAACAGTAGGTACTTTAAGTCTCGGTTAAAGCTTCATTAACTGATCAGGTGATTAGACTGTTCATATACTGATTTATTTTATGTATAATCACAGTCAAATCGCCTGATTAGTTAATCAAACCTTAACTGAGACTCAAAGTATCGGGCCTTAGTGTATCTAAAAATGTCATTGAAAATATTGTGATAACAACTTCGTATAAGTACACAAAACGTATTTAAAAAAGAATACACATTAAAATTTGTTCATGCAAAATCTCTTTCGATAAAATAAAGTTATGATTCACCACGTATATTTCAATAAAAAATAGTGTACATGGGAAAAAGAATTCATTAACAGATTCTGAATATCTTCAAATATTTTTAAGATAACCTCGACGTCGAAATAAACAATCAAGGCTAAAACTTATAAATATGTAAAGAAATAAATATATAGGTTTTTTTATAAACACTGCTGATAGTGAAATAAAACTGAAACTGTTAAAATGGTTGATAATGTTTTATTTGAGATAAAGAAATATATCAATTCCAACTATTAAAATTTTTCTATTTACAAATCTGGCATTACTTATATTGTGCAAATAGCAAAATGTTTCTCTCAATAAATAGTTTTATGTAAATCGAAATATAAATATTTAAAATTGCCTAATACAGAATAAAAGCAATTAATTTTAAAAATGCTACACCGTAATTTATTTATACATGTGAAAACTAAAGCAGAACATTTCCTCGTTGTAGACTATAATTAGATAATACATTAATAGATCTTGAGGTACCCATATTTTGGAACATGGGCATGTTAGTCTATATTGAAGTATCTATACAAAACTTCCTTGAGTATTTATAAGAAATTCGTCTTTGTCCCAGTTAACTTTAACTGTGAATGTAATGTAATGGAAATAGAGTGTATGGAAATTAAAACAAGAAAACAAAAGGATGTATTATTACCTACTTCCAATCAACATAATTCATTTTCTGAAAAGTCAGTTTTATGTATACATAATAAGTTGAGGATAATTATTAAAAATATATGTACGTATAATATTTAAAGTTCAATGATTTTTTTCAGCTTGTTATGACTTAACCTATGAAACTGGCCACTGCCAGTTACAGACTCACATTGCACTTCCTTAGCCTAAGCTAGGAATCTTTGAATTGCCCTTGTTGTTCTCGGGCTAGACTCTGTGGGAGCAAAATCACTATCAGAACACCTAGGCCCATCCTGCCATTCATTTTGGTTTTTGTTGTTGATTCTAAGGTCACTACGGACAGAACTGCTCCTCAAAGAAAGATAGTGGCCTCTGTGACTGGTTACATTCAATTTTTAGAAATATTGGATGTACAATAAACATCATGGTGGGCCTAGAGGTTCTGACAGTGGGTCCGTCCACAGAGCCTAGCCCGAGAACAGCAAAGGCAGGTCAACGATTCCCAGCTATAATTAAGAAAGTGCAATATAAGCATGTAAGAGGTGGTGACCAGGTACATAAGCAAAGGCGTAACAACGCGAAAAAAACATTGTATTTTAAATATCAGCACAGGCCGTGAAGCTCTAAAACCACTTTATGTAGGTATATCGTTCAGCAAATGTATTTTAACAATTTCAACACCTAAATTTTGGATGAATATTTTTGTAGGTGATTTATCTGAGGTTAGATATCTTTCCAAAATTAAAACTTTTATTAGTAGGTATTCAATACAATGAATGATTTTTTAAACTAAAAGTTGTTTTTTTACATTGGTTTCTACATGCAAACTCAAACAATTCAAAATTATTGAAAAGCACATAAAATTTAATTGAAATACTATACCAAATAAAAGAAAAAAAAAAGGAAAAAGATGAACCAATTCTTATACATTGTATTGAACGTGTCTGTGCATAACAAACAGTAAATTGATAATTCCATTAGAATGTAAATGAAAATAATACGCAATTTAAAACGGAATCAGTTCTCAGTTCATTCCTAACAAGTATATGAAGGTACAGTATGAAGAAATGACGCAGCGAGTAGTTTTGATTATATTAATGATAAAGAAATAATAATTAGTACTATTCTGAGCTAGTTTCGGAACAGGGTGTTCCTTTAAACACAATTTCTGATTGTTATGATCATGCCTACCTGAACATCAAGGCTGATTTTTTCAACGGTTCCCGTACCATTATAGAAGTCTATATTTAATTGATCTCTGTTTAATTTTTCCTCGAAGAACTGTCCCAAATATCTTTGTAAGAGATAAGCACACACATTTTTCTTTATACTTTCAGGTACTATATTGTGGTACCAAGGCATGGTTAGCCTTTAGCAAAACTCATTTAAATAAATACACTTCTTTGTTTTGAAGCCTAGCGTCTACTGACATTTCGCGACATGCTACAATTTTGACTAATTTTTTTGACAGAACGCGAAACTGCACAGCTGTTTCCGTTCATGGTCATTGCATTAATGCGTGAAAATTTATTTATTGCTTCACTCTTTTTTTGTCTTTGCACTATATTTACGGTATTAAATTATTTCTGCCTTTAATGAGTATATCTAAACATAAGATGCAGCATCTAAAATATAAGATTATATAATCGTTCAAGTACTTCATTGATGCTCCAAGTACAATAGCAAATGTCACTTTTCAATCTTCCCGCTAACTACAAATGAATCCAAAATGATGCTCATCCAAAATATTAAGAGTTACAATAATTATTAATATAAACATTTAAGCCAACCTAAATAATTTAATTTAATTAATTAATTTTTAAGTAGTTTGTTGAATATTATTTATATTTATATATTACCTACCTATATTGCTGGATGGCAGTTGGACTTAAAACTGAGTAGGTATTAAATATAAAAATACCGAAAATAATACAATACGTGAAAGAAACTTTAAATGATTAATATTTGCAGTTATTTCATAGGTACCTATATATTATAAAATACAAATAAACTACATCTATCCAATAACTTTATTTGGATTGTAATTGGAATAGATAGTAAGTTTAAATTCGATGATGATAAATTTCATTACTGTAGACTGTGCTCTCTGGTACGAGATGAGAATTGGATTAAATGTAGTTTGGGCGATTTGTCGACTTTCCACATTGTTGAATTTATAACATAACCTTAAATAGTGACAGATTTTTGCTAATGAAAGGTATCTGTTGTATTAGCACTACAAGGTTTTTTTGTAATATAATATTTAACTGAAGTGATAACAAATATTAATTTTTAAATTAAAATGTCTGGTGAAATAATTAACAATATAAATCATCTTAATTTAAATAACGACAATGACGAGAATGAAGATGTAGTAGATCCTTGGAATGTAGTGAGTAAATCGGAGACTGGTGTAGATTATAATAAATTAATACGTAAGTTCAATACAATTTAGCTATATACCTGTATATATATTTGAAAGGAAAAATATAATAAGCTTGTTATTAAAATGCAAAGATCATTATTGTTCTTTAAGTGTCGATCTCTCCATAAGGTAGCAAATTTATCAGCTGTTTTCTAACATATAAACTCAGTAATGTATCAAATAACCACATATATCAAAATCAAACTTGTTTTTATTAAAAAATATTTATTTTACAATCAGTTCTTTGTCGTAATGCATATGATGCAATTTCAATTTTTATGCTGATATTTTAACAAGTTATATCCGATGCATAAAATATTTATAATTTAGTACATCTTGGAAGATAGTCTTTTTTATGATACATTCATTTTAGAGAAATTTGGCAGTTCCAAAATTGATCAGGAACTCATTGACAGGTTTGAGAAGGTAACTGGTAAAAAAGTGCATCACTTACTACGAAGGGGTGTATTTTTCTCACATCGAGATATGCACACCATTTTAACTAACTATGAATCGGGCAAACCATTTTATCTTTACACTGGGCGAGGTCCATCTTCATCATCAATGCATTTAGGCCATCTTATTCCATTTACATTGTGTAAATGGCTTCAGGATGTTTTTGATGTGCCTTTGGTCATTCAGTTGACAGATGACGAGAAAACATTATGGAAGGATATTAAGTTGGAAGAAGCACATAAGATGGCTTATGAAAATGCAAAAGACATTATCGCAGTTGGTTTTAATGTAGAGAAAACATTTATTTTCTCCGATTTGGATTATATAGGGTAGGTATTTGAAACTAGTCAATGCCAGTAATTTATACAAAAGATAATGCTTCCAAATCTTTTATTTGAGATTTTTACGTCCTCTCTATTTAAGTGTTCACAGGATTAAACCGAAAAAATGTATTTTATTGAGTTTGAAATTTATTTTTCAATGTATATCACAAAAAGATTTTTGCTAATTTAGTTAGAGTGTCCTATATTTTGAAAAAAGAATATAAAAATAAGGAAGAATCAGGGTTTTGTTTTTAGTTTATATCATAGTAATTAATATAAAAAAAAATTGTTTTATTGATTTGATAACATGTATTGAATTCTGAGGAAATGTGATTATGTCATTGTGTAGATAATATTCATGATTTAAATCTTGTTGATAAGTTGTTAAATAAATAAGACATGATCAGTTCAGATTTGCATTATTATTTTTGTAATATCAGTTTTTATTTTGATAAATAAACATAAAGTAAATTTATATGATAACCATCATGTGGGCTTATCAATTATATAGGTACATGATTTATTTTATAATCATCAACGTATTTAAAAAATACTTATGGCCATATTTGTATTAAGGAAAATATTGTGATACTTATTAAAATTTTCAATATCATTTTTAAAAGATGTTTTGAGTTGAATGTACAGGGTTTTCATTTATATTTTGACGGTTGCATAGAGGCTTATTGTATTAATTAGAAAAAAAGTCCTTGCATAGACTTTGGAAACGAAATGTAGGTATGCGACACTTTTATTACCGGTACTTTATGATCTGCTGATGATAAACATGTGTGCATGGGGAACCGCGGAAATGTGCATGTGCATAGCATATGCGCCCGTCGCATCGATATATACATATCATTTAACTTTATACATTATATTTATATTCTGATTACCTAGGTATTATGTTAACTCTATTAATAAAAGTAAGAGTGGCGACTATAAATCAGGTAAGAGTGCGCTATTAATTTTTATATCAAAGCAAACTTGTATGAAAAAAATCGAATAATTTTTAGTAATAATTTTTATATATACATAATTTTTTTATAATTTGTTATTTCAAAAAACTTCGAGTAATGTACGTGTTGCACCATACTGCATATTATTTTATTTTATTAATTAAGAATTTTGTCATTTATAACAGTAACTTAACAAAATTAATTGAAAAATGTTGAATAAATTAAACAGTGTACCTGAACATAAACATTTTGAAAAATATATTATACAGGGATAGCCTGAAGTACGGAATAAAATTCATATCTTTTGAATGAGTTAATTTTTTTTAAAACGCCGATACACGTTAACTGATTTTGATTTTTTCCCATCTTTCGGTTATTATAATAATTAATTTTTCTTCAACCCCCTAACCCCCAGCTACCCCTATTTTTTTTTCAAATGGAAACATAAGGCATGAGGGGGCTCGTTGAAAAGCTTATAGAAAACCGAATCCAGCCATACCAAATAAACAAGTTTTATTTTTTCAATAACAAGTTTTTTTTCATTTAGAAATTGAAACAACTAGATAATTTACAAAAATAAACTCAATGTCGCAAATGCTGAAAATGTCCTCCATTCACTATTTGGCATTCTCCAAGACGATAGTAAAAGCTGTCCACAGCATTCTGAATGACTTCAGCTGGTAAATTATGCATCTCCGCCCTAATCTTGTTCTTTAAATTCTCAATATTATCCGGTCTGTCCTGGTAGACTCTTTCTTTCAAATATCCCCAAAGAAAATAATCCAGGGGTGTTAAGTCGGGGGATCTTGGCGGCCATTCAACTGTACCCCGTCTACCAATCCAGCGATTTGGAAACATTTCATCTAAGTATCTTCGAACATCAATACCAAAATGTGGGGGAGCGCCATCTTGTTGGAACCAAATTCTTTCATTCGGTATATCTGGATCAATTTCATGAGGGAAAATCACAGCTAGAGCAGGTATCAGGTCAAATGTTAGGAAATCCAGGTAGCGTGCGGCAGTAAGATTTTCTTCAAAAAAGAATGGGCCCAAGATTCTGTTGTTGATGATACCTGCCCATACATTAACTTTTTGTGGATGCTGCGTATGCGATTCGCATGTCCAGTGTGGATTTTCCTGGGACCAAAAGCGATAGTTGTGCCTGTTAACCACTCCATTTAAATAAAACGTAGCTTCATCCGAAAAAAGTACGTCTCGTTGAAAACCATTATTGTCGTCACACCGTCTCATCATTTCCTCACAAAATTGTAATCGCCTATCATAATCGTCTTCCAAAAGCTCTTGGACAAGACATACCTTATAGGGGTGGTATTTCTCTTGTTTCAGAAACATTCGAATTGCAGTTCGAGAAGCATCGTGATTGCGGGCCAATGAAACAGTTGAAGTATGAGGATTTTCAACAAGTTCTAATGCAATGTCTAATTTCTTTTCTTCATTCAAAGCACGTGCCCGTCCAGTTTTGGGCAAAGTCTGTACTGTACCGTGTTCCTCAAATTTGTGAAATATTTTACTAACTGTCCCTTGCGAGATTTGGTTTTCGGGATATTTCGCATTAAATAAATCGCGCACTTCAGCCTGACTTCTTATTTTGTCTCCACATCCAAGCAATATCAAGATTTCGATGCGTTGCCTTTCCGATAATACCATTGCAATTCAGTAAATAACTTGATTTTGACACAATAGTAACGTTTCAAACTCCAATTTACAACTAAAGCGAAAAATTTTCTAGAAAGCCTGGCAAGTAAGTAGTACCAAAAAAATGCAACATGAAAAATATATCTTTTTTGCGTTAGCAGTTTCAAATTCTTTATTTTATTCTGTGCAAATTCATGGAGGATAACACTGAAGATAATTAAATTTTATTTCCCTTGTGTAAGTAGGTGTTTTATACAACCCTAAAAACCTTGCTATTGAAAAAATAAAACTTGTTTATTTGGTATGACTGGATTCAGTTTTCTATAAGCTATTCAACAAGCCCCCTCATGCCTTATGTTTCCATTTGAAAAAAAAAGTAGGGGTAGCTGGGGGTAAGGGGGTTGAAGAAAAATTAATTGTATATAACCGAAAGATGGGAAAAAATCAAAATCAGTTAACATGTTTCGGCATTTAAAAAAAAATTTACTCATTCAAAAGATATGAATTTTATTCCGTACTTCTGGCTATCCCTGTATAAGTTTATTATAAATGCACAGTTTCAATCATTCAATGTGCCAAGTTAAACTTCTAGTGAAACTGAGATAGCATGTTTTACTTAAAGATCCGAGCTAGTATGTTTTCCAAGCTTAATTTGAGATAGCATGTTTTCGTATTATTTACTTCTCAATGTGTTGTTTTAAAGTAAGCAAAACCAGGTGTATTAAGAACAACCCCTGACTTGTCCTTATTGCACAATGTTTCTTAAAAGATGTCATTAATAGGTATGTACCTACTTCCAGACAATAAAAAATGTTTTCATATGATATCAATAGTACTAATAAACTTTATTTTATTTACAGACAGTGTCCAGAATTCTATAGGAATATGATCAGAATCCAAAAATGTGTAACATTCAATCAAGTGAAGGGGATCTTCGGCTTTGATGACAGTACCGTCATTGGTAAAATTGGATTTCCAGCTGTGCAAGCAACTCCATGTTTATCTACCTCATTCCCTGATATCTTTGGCAATAAAAAGATACAGTGTCTTATACCATGTGCAATAGACCAAGATCCATACTTTCGTATGACCCGAGATGTGAGTCCACGGTTAGGTTTCAAGAAGCCTGCATTATTACATTCGAAATTCTTCCCGGCCTTACAGGGAGCTCAGACTAAAATGTCGGCCTCTGACGCTAATACCACAATTTTCTGTAACGACACACCCAAACAAGTAAAAAATAAAATAAACAAACACGCCTTTTCCGGCGGCCAAGCGACGGTGGAGGATCATAGAAAGTTGGGCGGTAACTGTGATATTGATATATCGTATCAGTATTTGAAATTTTTCCTCGAAGATGATGAGAAACTGGAGCAAATAAGGAGGGACTATACCAGTGGTGCCTTGTTAACGGGCGAGTTAAAGAAAATCCTTATTGACATTCTCACACCTCTGTTAATTGAACAACAACGGAGAAGAGCTAAAATTACGGATGAGGTTTTGAAGCAGTATATGACACCTCGGAAACTAAATTTTAATATTTAATGATTACCAGCATTTTTAACTATTATAAAATATTTATTTATTTATTTCAAAGCACATTTTTAAATAAGCTTATGATTAATGTTAAATATGTACTTTATACATAGTTTTGAAATTAAGCTAAATTTAAATTGACCTTCGTTTAACGGGGAAAACCACATTAGGGGGCTGATTTTCAGGTGTTTTTCATGAATCATTTTGAGTGGGAGAAATTAATTAATATTTAATTAAACTTTGACATTATTTTGTTAATATTAAGAACTAGGTATATTTACAAATTTTTTCAAGTCGTTTGTGTTAAAAATGCCAAAATTATGGGCTGAAGGTCGNTATACCAGTGGTGCCTTGTTAACGGGCGAGTTAAAGAAAATCCTTATTGACATTCTCACACCTCTGTTAATTGAACAACAACGGAGAAGAGCTAAAATTACGGATGAGGTTTTGAAGCAGTATATGACACCTCGGAAACTAAATTTTAATATTTAATGATTACCAGCATTTTTAACTATTATAAAATATTTATTTATTTATTTCAAAGCACATTTTTAAATAAGCTTATGATTAATGTTAAATATGTACTTTATACATAGTTTTGAAATTAAGCTAAATTTAAATTGACCTTCGTTTAACGGGGAAAGCCACATTAGGAGGCTGATTTTCAGGTGTTTTTCATGAATTATTTTGAGTGGGACAAATGAATTAATATTTAATTAAACTTTGACATTATTTTGTTAATATTAAGAACTAGGTATATTTACAAATTTTTTCAAGTCGTTTGTGTTAAAAATGCCAAAATTATGGGCTGAAGGTCGTCCGAATTGGTTGTTCACGGGAAATGTGGAGGTCACAATTTTGATCTGAAAGCAAAATGGTTGTTTTCCTGCATTACTCATATGTTTTCTAAGAATATGAACCTCATTGTGGGTAAAAATTGTGAAAATTGAAGTTTTGACATGTTTGAAAAAAAAATTATTGATTTTCACCATTTTTTTTCCACTTACAGTATAAACTCTTTTTAATGAATCTTAAGGGACCGGGGATTTTTTTTCGTTAGAGAGTTTTTGTTATATGGAGGGAAGAAGGAAAAATCCTCTCCGTTCATTTTACCGTAGGTAATATTATGACGGTGCTTAAATTTTCCAAGCCAACCTTCTGATGCTTTAAAGTCAATAATGCCTAGTTTTTCGGCAAACTTCTCAGCCTTGGCTTTAACAATTGGCCCCGAGATGGGTACATTATTCTGGCGCTGATTGTTAAACCATGACAACATTGCTTGATCTAAGTCTTCGAATTTTGTCTTCTTTAATTTTTTAGTAGACAATCCCTGCAATTCCGCCTATAGAATTGCTTCTTTGTTTTTCCAAATGGTAGCAACAGTAGATGGATTGAGGCCTAAACATCTTCCAACATTACTTTTCTCCTTTTTCTATCGCACATATCAAACAAACTTTTTTTTCGTTAACACATAAGGCTGTTCTTTTACTGGCCATCTTGACAGTTTCAAAATAGGTTTACGACTGATAATATACAATAGGTGCCTAGTGCGTTTAGTAACTGAATGTAAAATTTCCTAGAAACAATGTAATCCAAGAGTAATGACACACGTGTTCGAGGCAATTAGCAATAACAAAAGCAAGGCAGTTGTTTACGACCTCAGGGTCTTTCTTAGAAATTTCGGCACCTCAAAGATTTAGTCGGAACCTTTTATAAGCTGATTATAAAAACAATTACACTATTAAATACTTCTGTAAATATTTGCTGGCGTCTAAATATGAACATATTATTTCTTCGTAATAGAGAATGGCTGTTGCGCTATAGAGAGTGTATTAATGTATGAGTTTTGACGTAAACCAACCAAATTGACTTAATTTCTAAGTTATAGGAAGTTTTTCGTTATAACTAACGACGTTATAAAGAGTTTACACTGTATTTTGAATAAAAAAACACTTAAAATTATGATATCCCAATTCAATGTTCATGTTTTTAGTAATTTCATAAAGAAACACACTTTTCATAATAATCGGTTCATAACAATTTGAGCTAGAATTCTCATGAATCAAAAAAATGTTCTTTCGAGAAAAACGTGATTGAAAATTTCCAAAAACTAGGTATTTGAAATAGTTATCAACAATATACAGGGTGTTTGGTAAGTCGGTGCATTCCTTGCAGGATTGCAAGTGATTTGTGATATATTTCTTTAATATCCCATATTCCGAAAATGCTTAGTTTCTGATCTACAGGGTGATAAAGTTTTAATAAAAAAATGCAAATTTATAAATATTTTGGAAACCGCTCAGAATATTTTAATGAAATTTTACAAGCTTTAACAATTAACAACAATACATGTTTTGCAATAAAAATATTGTTTTTAGTTTCACCAGTGGCGTGCGCACAGGCACATCTTTGGATATTTTTAATGAAAAAAATGATACGCCACTGATTTTTCTTAAAATAAAAATTATTTTTGAATACCTTGTTCAATTTGAGAGAGAATAGTTATCTTGACTGTTTTTCTTATGACGCACCATTTTCGAGTAAAAAAATTTAAATCGATTTATTGTATGGTGTAATCTGGTTTCAATAATTTGAAAAATAGGAAATTATGCACTCAGCATTTTTTTTTTTACCAATTACGACAAAAAAATATTCCTCGCAGTTAACAACATCAGTCTAAAAAAATTTTATCAGTTTTTAGATTCACTATTTACTATCTAAACAGAAATTAGCAAATTGGCTGTGCACTCGTTTTTGTTATTGTTTGACAAAATTAATAATAGCTGTCACTTTGAGTGTTTGAGTGTGAGGCAGTTAAGTGCATAATTTCTGCTATTTTTCAAATTATTGAAAGCGAATTATGCCATGCAATAAATCGATTTTATTTTTTTTACTCGAAAACGATGAGTCATAAGAAAAACAGTTAAGATACCTCTTTTCTTCCAAATTGAATAATGAATTCAAAAATAATTTTTATTGAAAACTGAACTGAAAACAATATTTTTATCGCAAAACATGTATTCTTGTTCACTGTCAAAGCCTGTAAAATTTCATTAAAATATTTTGAGCGGTTTCCGCAATATTTATAAATCTGCATTTTTTTATTAAAACTTTAACACCTTGTAAATCGGAAACTATGCGTTTTCGGAATATAGTATATTAAGGAAATACATCACAAATCACTTGTACTATAGCCTCCTGCAAGGAATGCATCGACTTACCAAACACCCTGTAGAGTGCTTACCGATCAATCAGGGATTCCAGGACCATATAATACTCCTTCTTCTGCCTCATAAGCATCATTCTGAGCTTACATCTTTTCTTTTCTTGCTTAATAAGTGACTCCCTGAACAAGCGCTCCACCATATCTACTGTTCGCCCGAGCGCTGACCCGATGGACATTTGGTTTTAGGCTCATAAAATCGGAATGAATAGGAATTTTGTTTTGAAATTTTGGCAGCGTAATAGTTATACTAACAATTTATACAATTAAAAAAATGCATTTTTTTTTAACCTAATTTGGTTTCCCCCCTTAGGAGGGCTGTAAGCAAATAGGCAACCAGCAATACATTTTAATAGATTTTATTACACAGTTTATCTAAATATAAATTAATGCACAAATAACAGACTTTCCCCCATTTTAACACAAATTTTCTATAAAATGGATTTAGTTTGAAACTCAAATTACTTTCTCGTGTAAAGAAATTTGTAATTTACCGTGACGCTTGTTCAAAAGCGGCAAATTACAAATTTCTTTACAACAAAACGTAATTTGAGTTTCAAACTAACTCTATTTTATAGAAAATTTGCGTTAGAATGGAGGAAAGTCTGTTTGTGCATTGATTTATAGTTAGACAAACTGTGTAATAAAATCTATAAAAATGTATTGCTGGTTGCCTACTTGCTATAGAACCCTTTTATAATTTATTACATGCTTTAGGTACATGAGTAGGTCAAAAATAAAAATCAAAATCGTTTTCATTTGTAAATAAAATAATGATTTCGTCCAATGATTCACCTGTTAAAGGACCCCGCACTTTTCTTATGGGAAGTGGGTTTCGGCAAATTGTTTTGAAACTTTGCTGGTTGATAGTTCTTAACATGTAGATCAAAAGTCTCAATGGGCAGAAAGTCCCAAATCCACCCCTTCCCCCCAAATAGCGGGGGGATTTAACTGATTTCTGCATGTAAAACAATTTATATTTTTAATCAACCCAACAACGACCCCAAACAACCACAACCACAAGTAATATTCAAGCTGTAAAACGCTGTTAAACTTATCACACGTGTATATCTATAACTGTGGCGTTTTAAAACTAAAATATTGATTTTTCGAAAAAAACAAGAATAGTTTTTTTAGATTTCATTGAAATAAACAACTTTTATTTCAAACTTTTTTTCATAAAACGACAAGTAAACTCCCCCCTACTTGGAGGCAGTTTTGGGGGGGAAGGGGTGGATTTGGGGCTTTGTGCCCATTGAGACTTTTGATCTACATGTTAAGAACTATCAACCTGCGAAGTTTCAAAAAAATTTGCCGAAATCCACTTCCCATAAGAAAATTTCGGGGTCCTTTCCTTTTTTTTTAATAAATCTGATGTTGAAAGGTCCTTTAGGAGAGAATCATTTATAATTTCGATTATTTCTTTCAGGTAGCAGATATTTTTGAAATCTTCCTTCATTTAAACAGGCATTTATTTTATAAATACATAATAAACAGTTTAGGGTGGCCCAAAAAAAAACGAATATATTTTTTTGTGTTTCTTGTGAAAATATGTCAGTTTATCATGTTTTAAGTGCCCTCTCAAAAAATCAGGTCAAAAAAACATTTTTTAGAGATTGCTCAAGATTTTTAAAAATTCCAAAATCGTAAAAAATTGAATTTAAAAAAAATTTTTTTTCTCGTTATTTTATCATTTTCTAGGTTGAAAAAAATCTCGAATCTGAAAATTCAAATCAATATTTTAATTTCTAAAGGTCACTCATAAATGATTTTAACTTTCAAAGTAGTGTACCTGTTTTCGAGCGACCTCTAAAAATAAATATCAACGAACTAATAATTTTTTTTATTGAATTTGATGAACAAAAGAATAGAAATAAATCACGAGACACTTAAAAAATTT